GAATTACCGTCACTTTTTTCACACCTTCTAAAAAAGCTTCTATATCTCGACATATATAGGTAATAGCCTTTCGCAACACTCTAAGATTCTTTGAGACTTCATCTGATTTATATTTAAGCGAGATTTAATATCAGTGTGTCGATTCAAAAATGATCCTTGGGATAAAATTTTTTCAGTGGAAAATTTTGCATACGGTAACACAGACACTTTTACAACACGAATATAAATATGATGTAAATCTATAATCTATGATTAGATATGGGCCATGCCATATAAATTTTATATTTTAACGATAGTCTTTATTTTGCCAGACCGTAGACCCTTGATGAGTCGGGAAAATGTTCTGAACTACGAATATATTGGATCACATGTCAAAGACTACATTCAAGAGAATAATCTCTTTAGCACATTCGTAGTAGAAGATATCAAATCAATCATGAAATTCGCGAATTTAACACCTGATGACTTCAATTCTCTTCTTGTGCAATCTCATTCTGTATACCTGCACTCGAAATACTAATATTTCAATAAACAACTTACAAGATGTCATTTCAACACTTAAATCTGTTCAAAAGTACATGAAGATGCGAATATTTGGAGGAATTATTGGCGTTTTAGAACAATTACAAAAGGATCAATCCAGTACAACAAATCAAATCGAAAAACTTCAAGCAGATTAATTCGGATCCAAAAAGAAAAGAAAAACGTTGAGAAAGAAATGCAAACTCTTCACTCTCAATTCAAAGAGAAAGAAATTCTTTCTAAAATTTCGGAACTAAAAATTCTAAAGATTTCGATCAAATCTACAAATTCCTTGACGAAATTTCAGAAAAAGGAAATCAAAAAATGATACAAAAAGCATGTGAAGAAGAACTTTGGAAAAAACAAAATCATGGTGATTATTATGGTACAAATGTACTTCATTATGCATCTTCAAAAGGAAATCTGAGACTTGTTAAATCTCTCATTGAATGTGGCTGTGACAAAAGAATCATGAGCAAAATTGGTGGTGGTACAGCTCTAATTTGGGCATCATATTATGGTCATCTTGAAGTTGTTCAATATCTTATCTCAGTTGGAGCTAATAAAAGTAGCAAAGGATAATGATGGATATACTCCACTCATATTATGCATCATATTTATGGTAACTTGAAGTTGTTAAATATCTTATCTCAGATGGAGCTAATAAAGAAGCAAAGGATAATGATGGATATACTCCACTCGCTTGGGCATCATGTTATGGTCATCTTGAAGTTGTTAAATATCTTATCTCAGTTGGAGCTAATAAAGAAGCAAAGGCAGCATTTGGAAATTCTCCACTCGCTTTGGCATCAAAAGAAGGTCATCTTGAAGTTGTTAAATATCTTATCTCTATTGGAGCTGATAAAGAAGCAAAGAATGATGGTGGATGTACTCCACTCATTTGGGCATCAAGAAATGGTAAACTTGATGTTGTTAAATATTTTATCTCAGTTGGAGCTGATAAAGAAGCAAAGAATAATGATGGATATACTCCACTCATTTGGGCATCACACAAAATGGTCATCTTGAAGTTGTTAAATATCTTATCTCAGTTGGAGCTAATAAAGAAGCAAAGGATAATTCTGGAGATACTCCACTCATTTTTGCATCATGTTATGGTCATTTTGAAGTTGTTAAATATCTTATCTCTATTGGAGCTGATAAAGAAAACAAAGGATAACAATGGGAAAACAGCACTTGATTATTCGAAAGGAGCATTAAGAGAATATTTATTATCAATTGCAAAAAAATAATTTCTTGATTTATTTGGTTATTATCTCTCAACCAATGTTGCAAAAGATAAAGTTAATTTTTTTTGTTAAGGGTGCACTTACGCCCCTATGACATGGCCTTCAATTCAGATGTTTAAGGTTAATTTTCAAAAATACTTCACACCAATTGTCAAAATTTGAATTAAAGTCAATTGGGCGTAAGTGCAGCCTTAATAAATTTTTATTCATTAATCTATTGTTCGGGCAGATTATTACCTCGTGATAAGTTTTTACAAAACTCCAATTCCATAAAATGAGTGTGAGGCGTGATTTCTATTTTTCTAAAATGATATCTAGAACTTTATAAGAAACAAAAAAAAAATAAATATTCAAAAATTAAAAAATATATGTATATATAATTACATGCAAAATTGACCTCTTCCATCAAAGTTCAATAATGATTGTGCATTTGCTGTGGCTCTATCGTAACAGTTTTTTCCGAGAATATCTTTTGCAAGTATGTTTGCACCGTTATTAATTAGCATTCTAACACATTCTTCATGACATTTGCAAATGGCAGCCATCAGAGAAGTCTAGTGGTACTTGTCAAATTTAATAAATATAATATAAAATAACAAACATTTATTAAGGAAATAACAAAATCAAAATAAAATCAATTCTTACTTTCTCGCCATAATTTCAGCATTTTTTGAGCATCTGAATCGAGAAGTTCACTCTCACTCATCTCTGTTAACATTGTTGATTCTTCGTAGTTTTTCATTCTTCTGCGTGAAGAAGGTCTCATTGACTTTCTTTCTGGCTGTAATGGCAATGAAACAGGAAGTGGAGTGCTATTTCTTGCATTTATTGTAGCCAACGCGTTATTTAATGTATTTTGCATATCTAAAATTGTTGAGTGCCTATTCAAGCTAATTTGTGTTGTTTGTTGCTGGAAATCTAGAGCTAACTGCGATAGAGATTTGTTTTGATCCTGAATAAAAGTTCTATAACTGTTTGTGAGCTGTGAAACTTTATTATTTGAATCACGAATTCCATTTTCAAGAGAATCACATGTTGTATTAAATTGATCTTCGAATTTGTTGACTTTGCTATGTCCTTTCTTTATTCTTCACTATATCCATCATCAAGCATTGAAAATCTTGGAACTTGTGGATTGAACATTGAATGATTAGCTCCAAGCATTTGTTGGCTCATATTCATCATCTGTGGATTGAAACTCATATCGTTTACAGAGATTTGTTGATCATTCGGTTTTTGAGAGAAAACAAAATAGTTAATTGTCTTAAAATTCTTAAGTTCTCTTGTTGGTTTAACAGCAATAGGAATACTTGTGAATTTTGACAATTTGAGTTGTGCATTTTTACCAATTTTCTCAATATCGGCCTTTAATTCTTGCATGAAAGCTTGTTTTTCCTGTAACTTGCGTTCTTCATATTTTTCATGCAATTCATTGATTTGATCTTCATATTGAGCACTCAATTTTGCTAATTGTTTCTTTTTCCTTGAAATATAATCCTTTTTCGCATGCTGCTTCTTGTTTCATCTCTTCGTCTTCATCATTTAATAACTGTATTAATTTTGCGTGTTTCTTCTTCATGTCATCGATTTCTCGTTGATGTTCTTCATTGATTGAATTGATTTCTTCTTTTTGCTGATTTTCGAACTCTTTCTTTTTCTGCTCGAAATTGTTCTGCATTTCCATGATTTCGGAACTATCTGTGTACTTTCTTTTAGCTGCAATAAGCTTTTGTTGCTGAGCAGATTTAAAATCAATGAATTCTTTCTTCATTTGGTCAACAAGTTCTTTCTTTCTCTCCATTTGTTTTGCATTGATTTTTTCCATTTGTTGGTTGAAATTTTCCGTAATTTTTTCTTTTGGTTTTTCTAAAGCTTTTCTATATGCTCTTGCTTCCCTTTCGACTTGCATTTGATCTATTTGGACCTTAGAACTCTTTTGAAACTCTTTTAATGCTTGATCATTCTTTGTTTGAAGTTTTTTGACATCTTGAAAATGTTTATTCGTAATTGCTTCTATTTCTTGTGCATGCTTTTTTTTCAGTGAATCTATTTCATCTTTGTTTCTTCTTATAAGGTCATTTTTCTCAAATTCATGAGATTTTTTGAGATTTGTGATTTCGAGAGCTTTTGAATCATTGGCTATTTTCTTTTCTTGTTCAAAACTGCTAGTAATGAAATCTATCTCTTTTTTATGTTTATTCTTTATATCTTCGAGTTCACGATTATTTGAATCTTTCTAAAAACTTTTTTTGATTCTCAAAAGTATTCTTTTGTTGGTCTAAGATACTTTTTTGGGCTTCCGTTAAACTTCTTGGTTATTATCTTTGATTTTTTGAAGTTCATCATATTAAAAACTTTTTTTCTTGTTGAACATCGTTATTAAACTTTCCCTAAGCTTATTTTTCTCATTATCTAATTCTCTTTGATGTTGCTCTTGTAATTCTTTTAGTTTTTGTTGATGTAAATTATTTTCGTTTTCTATATCTTTTATTTGATTCATTTTGATCTGATCTGCTGACTTCTGCGGAGAAATGTCTGATGTTGATAGTTTATAGGTTTGTTTAGGTATATTGGACTGTGATTGACTATTTGTTTTTGCAGGACTTGATTTTGGAGTTGGCTGCTTATTCCTAAGTCGAGGAATCGAGTCACTATCTGAATCATCTGAAAATAATTGATTTGCTACTGCAATTTTAGATTTCGAAGGTGAATTATTTGGCTTTGGACTATTTTGTTTTTGGAGTAGATGTTTGACTTGTATTGGATGTTCCTTTTTGCTTTTCGAGATATTTCTTCTTCTCATCAAGATACTTTTGCTTAAATTTTTCATCTAGTGGATGCTCCCATATAGACTCGCCTGTTTTTGTATTGAAATAGAATGACCGACTTGAACCGTCCTTTTTCTGATAGATTTTCCACTCTGGTGGTAACTTTGTTTGCAATGCTTCTTTTGCAATCCATAAAAATGGATTATCTTCGGGTAATTTCATACCAAGATATTCAGCATAGTTTTCAACTTCTTCCTCTGGTGGATCATCTTCATAAACTACATCTGATAACGCAATATAGTCGTCGTTATTCATCTTGAGGAATTTTCAAACGTGCAGATTATTAAAATCGAACATAAATGATATAATTAGCCATTTTATCTCATAAAAATTATTTTCTTCTCATACACTGAACTGAAAAATCAGGCTCAAAAAATTCTTCAAAATGAAATTGCTATTATCGAAGCTTTCATGATTGCAATCTCAATAAAATGGAATGTAAGCCTATAATATGTATTCATAGTGTAAACTTTGGGTGATTTTATAAATATTTTGAAAGTGAGATAGAGCTAAATAATGCTAAGTATATGTTAAGTATAAAAAATCGTAGATATAAACATTTTGGGAATTGACAATTTCTATATTGTATATGTGTGATATAGTTAAGACAATAACTATGTTAAAATAAAGTCATGTAATTTTTTAAAACTAAGTCATGAGAAGCCGATTCATAGCAGTGAATAAAATAGCTGTCAGACATCCATCACTTTTTGGAGGTTGCTGTGTTAATCGGTTGTGTAGAATAATACTACCTTAATGAAGCTTAGCGTAGAAACAGATATTCACGTAATCGTTACCGCAACCTTGCCTTTGAATAAGAATAAACTGGTTGTTCTTCTTCTTCAATCAGTATAATGAATAGTCATCTAGGTGATCTTGTATTAGTGGCGGAAGGTTTCCTTTGGGAAGATCGAGTTAATAACTATTTGTTCCTTGGTTTTGAAGTAATTAAACGCCTGGCCATTTGCGTGAATAGTAGAACACTCGTATCTTGAGAACATGATCATTGCCACTCATGGTTTGGAAAACAGATATTCCTGATGAATATGAGCAGAATATTGAGATTTCGCTTGTGGTTTAGAGCCGCTGGTGGTCAGAACATTATCAGCATCTTCTTCGTAATCGCTGTAGTAGCTTATCATTTTCTTCAATCAGGCATCTTAGAAGGCTGTGGCTTTTGTGATGAAGATTTATAGGATTCATAAGTTCCGTAAGTATCTTTCTTACTCTGAAATCTTGTGTTCTCTGTGATGCAGCTGATTTCTTGGCAGAAACGTTGAGAATCCTGTGTTCCAGTATTCCTATTTTGAGAATCTTGGGTTCCAGATTCTTTCTTGATATTCCTGAGTAGGTGTCTTCTTTGATGATGATTGGGTTGTATTTCTCTTACGGCTTGAGTAAGAATGGTCAGATTCCATCGTTGGATTCTCATCATCGTCAATCTGTGCTGAAACGTTACGAGATTTGATCTTCTTCGAGCCATTCGAGTTCAAAGAGTCTTCACTACCAAGGAATAACTTGGCATCGAAGAAATTGGTCTGTCTGGATTTGGATCAATCATTAAAAAGTCAGATATGAATAGCCATATTCTCTCAGAAAAATTTCAATGTAAATTTTCTCGCACAATTGTATCGGGACTTGCAAAAAGTTGAGTATATGATATAACTAAAATATACAAAGATGTTCGACTTTTCTGATAGCATTGATTTTTTATGATGCATCAAATTCAATGCCCATGATAAAATTGAGACCAATCATTATTATAAATGGGTGATCTTGTATCCTACTCAGAGATTTGCGAAAAGCTTACACAGGCAGGTGTTACTCGCTGCAATCAGCCAACCTACAACTTCATAGTTCGTTCCTTCCTTTCAGGTGTTTTCATTTCTTTCTCTTTCTTGTTTGGTGTTGTCGCTACAATCGAGTCTGGACAAACCATTATGTTTGCCCTTTGTTTCGCTATCGGCCTTGATTACATCCTTTTCTTAAATTGCTATCTCTTCACAGGTGATCTTGTCCCAGTTGTTCTTTGCGCTCTTAATAGACGTGCTCCTGCTGGAAAGTTAATATATGCTCTTGGTATGACATACATTTTCAATGCTCTTGGATGTGTCTTTGGTGCATTCTTCACAGGATGGGCAACAGGACTTTCAAGCAATCCATATGATAACTGGATTGGTCAAAAGGTTGCACTCTACTGCTATAAGAAGACCCACATGAATTATGGAAATATGTTTGCTAAGGCAATGATCTGCAATGCTCTTGTTTCAATTGCTACATTCATGGCCAACATGACAACCTCTTACTGCGGAAAATGCCTTGCTGTATTCCTTGCAATTGGTAACTTCTCTACCCTCGGCCTTGAGCACTGTATGGCTAATTGGTTCTGCCTTTCTAATGGTCTTATGCAAAAGGATGCCATAAAGAATATGACATGGAAAGCTACAATCTTAAATCTTATCATTGTTTCAATTGGTAATGCTGTTGGATCTTGTGTCTTTGTTTCTCTTCCAGCATTCCTTCAGCAATACTCCGATAAGCCGGATTCTCTTGATAATGATGTTCCAAGCTCTGCAAACGATAAGAAATCTGATGAAGATGTAGCGAGCTTATAAGCCCGAAACCTTATAATTTGTTATTCTATTATTTTAAAATTGAAATTAAAATTGAATATGATATTTCTGTAATTTTTGATTAGCATTCACATTGAAAATAAATTTCTTGGAACAAATTAGGATATTTAATGATATTTGTAAATGATTTGATTTTGCTTGACAGATTCTCACTTTTTTATAAAAGTTCTTTTTAATCTAATTTAAATATATCGCATAAAAATCGATGTCAGTTTTTTGGGCACAATGAAGACAAGTCGCTATCTGAGCTTCGGCCATCAGCGTTAGCCTGCTAAGCTCTGTCTTAGCATGACGGGGTTAATGCCGGTCGGGCATGAGGATAAAAAACGGTCAGAGTGACCAAAGTTGTGAAATTAATTCTATTAGAGTTTTCTTAATAGATGTATGAGCGTTTCGTTTTGTTATCTTTATTTATTTCATATGAATATTGATTGTTTAGATTTTTGTATAATGATATAATTATCAAATATTTTTATTTGGTGTACAATCTTCATGGTGGCTTCAGTAAAGCGTTGGATATGTAATTTTGAAGATATTTGAAACCGAAGTCGATTATTTAATTCTGATCTGAACAATAATTTGTTTTGTATTATGAAATAAGCGTTACGATGAATTCCTTGTACAATTAGTATTAATGTCATCATTCATAATTGTTATTTTATATGGTCATCTCCATCCTCGTCTTTTTTCACACCTTCTAAAAAAGCTTCTATATCTCGACATATATAGGTAATAGCCTTTCGCAACACTCTAAGATTCTTTGGATACTTCATCTGATTTATATTTAAGCGCAGATTTAATATCAGTGTGTCGATTCAAAAATGATCCTTGGGATAAAATTTTTTCAGTGGAAAATTTTGCATACGGTAACACAGACACTTTTACAAACAGAATATAAATATGATGTAAATCTATAATCTATGATTAGATATGGGCCATGCCATATAAATTTTATATTTTAACGATAGTCTTTATTTTGCCAGACCGTAGACCCTTGATGAGTCGGGAAAATGTTCTGAACTACGAATATATTGGATCACATGTCAAAGACTACATTCAAGAGAATAATCTCTTTAGCACATTCGTAGTAGAAGATATCAAATCAATCATGAAATTCGCGAATTTAACACCTGATGACTTCAATTCTCTTCTTGTGCAATCTCATTCTGTATACCTGCACTCGAAATACTAATATTTCAATAAACAACTTACAAGATGTCATTTCAACACTTAAATCTGTTCAAAAGTACATGAAGATGCGAATATTTGGAGGAATTATTGGCGTTTTAGAACAATTACAAAAGGATCAATCCAGTACAACAAATCAAATCGAAAAACTTCAAGCAGATTTAATTCGGATCCAAAAAGAAAAAGAAAACGTTGAGAAAGAAATGCAAACTCTTCACTCTCAATTCAAAGAGAAAGAAATTCTTTCTAAAATTTCGGAACTTAAAAATTCTAAAGATTTCGATCAAATCTACAAATTCCTTGACGAAATTTCAGAAAAAGGAAATCAAAAAATGATACAAAAAGCATGTGAAGAAGAACTTTGGAAAAAACAAAATCATGGTGATTATTATGGTACAAATGTACTTCATTATGCATCTTCAAAAGGAAATCTGAGACTTGTTAAATCTCTCATTGAATGTGGCTGTGACAAAGAAATCATGAGCAAAATTGGTGGTGGTACAGCTCTAATTTGGGCATCATATTATGGTCATCTTGAAGTTGTTCAATATCTTATCTCAGTTGGAGCTAATAAAGTAGCAAAGGATAATGATGGATATACTCCACTCATTTATGCATCATATTATGGTAAACTTGAAGTTGTTAAATATCTTATCTCAGATGGAGCTAATAAAGAAGCAAAGGATAATGATGGATATACTCCACTCGCTTGGGCATCATGTTATGGTCATCTTGAAGTTGTTAAATATCTTATCTCAGTTGGAGCTAATAAAGAAGCAAAGGCAGCATTTGGAAATTCTCCACTCGCTTTGGCATCAAAAGAAGGTCATCTTGAAGTTGTTAAATATCTTATCTCTATTGGAGCTGATAAAGAAGCAAAGAATGATGGTGGATGTACTCCACTCATTTGGGCATCAAGAAATGGTAAACTTGATGTTGTTAAATATTTTATCTCAGTTGGAGCTGATAAAGAAGCAAAGAATAATGATGGATATACTCCACTCATTTGGGCATCACAAAATGGTCATCTTGAAGTTGTTAAATATCTTATCTCAGTTGGAGCTAATAAAGAAGCAAAGGATAATTCTGGAGATACTCCACTCATTTTTGCATCATGTTATGGTCATTTTGAAGTTGTTAAATATCTTATCTCTATTGGAGCTGATAAAGAAACAAAGGATAACAATGGGAAAACAGCACTTGATTATTCGAAAGGAGCATTAAGAGAATATTTATTATCAATTGCAAAAAAATAATTTCTTGATTTATTTGGTTATTATCTCTCAACCAATGTTGCAAAAGATAAAGTTAATTTTTTTTGTTAAGGGTGCACTTACGCCCCTATGACATGGCCTTCAATTCAGATGTTTAAGGTTAATTTTCAAAAATACTTCACACCAATTGTCAAAAATTTGAATTAAAGTCAATTGGGCGTAAGTGCAGCCTTAATAAATTTTTATTCATTAATCTATTGTTCGGGCAGATTATTACCTCGTGATAAGTTTTTACAAAACTCCAATTCCATAAAATGAGTGTGAGGCGTGATTTCTATTTTTCTAAAATGATATCTAGAACTTTATAAGAAACAAAAAAAAATAATTATTCAAAAATTAAACATATATGTATATATAATTACATGCAAAATTGACCTCTTCCATCAAAGTTCAATAATGATTGTGCATTTGCTGTGGCTCTATCGTAACAGTTTTTTCCGAGAATATCTTTTGCAAGTATGTTTGCACCGTTATTAATTAGCATTCTAACACATTCTTCATGACCATTTGCAAATGGCAGCCATCAGAGAAGTCTAGTGGTACTTGTCAAATTTAATAAATATAAATATAAAATAACAAACATTTATTAAGGAAATAACAAAATCAAAATAAAATCAATTCTTACTTTCTCGCCATAATTTCAGCATTTTTTGAGCATCTGAATCGAGAAGTTCACTCTCACTCATCTCTGTTAACATTGTTGATTCTTCGTAGTTTTTCATTCTTCTGCGTGAAGAAGGTCTCATTGACTTTCTTTCTGGCTGTAATGGCAATGAAACAGGAAGTGGAGTGCTATTTCTTGCATTTATTGTAGCCAACGCGTTATTTAATGTATTTTGCATATCTAAAATTGTTGAGTGCATATTCAAGCTAATTTGTGTTGTTTGTTGCTGGAAATCTAGAGCTAACTGCGATAGAGATTTGTTTTGATCCTGAATAAAAGTTCTATAACTGTTTGTGAGCTGTGAAACTTTATTATTTGAATCACGAATTCCATTTTCAAGAGAATCACATGTTGTATTAAATTGATCTTCGAATTTGTTGACTTTGCTATGTCCTTTCTTTATTTTCTCACTATATCCATCATCAAGCATTGAAAATCTTGGAACTTGTGGATTGAACATTGAATGATTAGCTCCAAGCATTTGTTGGCTCATATTCATCATCTGTGGATTGAAACTCATATCGTTTACAGAGATTTGTTGATCATTCGGTTTTTGAGAGAAAACAAAATAGTTAATTGTCTTAAAATTCTTAAGTTCTCTTGTTGGTTTAACAGCAATAGGAATACTTGTGAATTTTGACAATTTGAGTTGTGCATTTTTACCAATTTTCTCAATATCGGCCTTTAATTCTTGCATGAAAGCTTGTTTTTCCTGTAACTTGCGTTCTTCATATTTTTCATGCAATTCATTGATTTGATCTTCATATTGAGCACTCAATTTTGCTAATTGTTTCTTTTTCCTTGAAATATAATCCTTTTTCGCATTTGCTGCTTCTTGTTTCATCTCTTCGTCTTCATCATTTAATAACTGTATTAATTTTGCGTGTTTCTTCTTCATGTCATCGATTTCTCGTTGATGTTCTTCATTGATTGAATTGATTTCTTCTTTTTGCTGATTTTCGAACTCTTTCTTTTTCTGCTCGAAATTGTTCTGCATTTCCATGATTTCGGAACTATCTGTGTACTTTCTTTTAGCTGCAATAAGCTTTTGTTGCTGAGCAGATTTAAACTCAATGAATTCTTTCTTCATTTGGTCAACAAGTTCTTTCTTTCTCTCCATTTGTTTTGCATTGATTTTTTCCATTTGTTGGTTGAAATTTTCCGTAATTTTTTCTTTTTTGGCTTCTAAAGCTTTTCTATATGCTTCTGCTTCCCTTTCGACTTGCATTTGATCTATTTGGACCTTAGAACTCTTTTGAAACTCTTTTAATGCTTGATCATTCTTTTGTTGAAGTTTTTTGACATCTTGAAAATGTTTATTCGTAATTGCTTCTATTTCTTGTGCATGCTTTTTCTTCAGTGAATCTATTTCATCTTTGTTTCTTCTTATAAGGTCATTTTTCTCAAATTCATGAGATTTTTTGAGATTTGTGATTTCGAGAGCTTTTGAATCATTGGCTATTTTCTTTTCTTGTTCAAAACTGCTAGTAATGAAATCTATCTCTCTTTTATGTTTATTCTTTATATCTTCGAGTTCACGATTATTTGAATCTTCTAAAAACTTTTTTTGATTCTCAAAAGTATTCTTTTGTTGGTCTAAGATACTTTTTTGGGCTTCCGTTAAACTTCTTTGGTTATTATCTTTGATTTTTTGAAGTTCATCATTATAAAACTTTTTTTCTTGTTGAACATCGTTATTAAACTTCTCCCTAAGCTTATTTTTCTCATTATCTAATTCTCTTTGATGTTGCTCTTGTAATTCTTTTAGTTTTTGTTGATGTAAATTATTTTCGTTTTCTATATCTTTATTTTGATTCATTTTGATCTGATCTGCTGACTTCTGCGGAGAAATGTCTGATGTTGATAGTTTATAGGTTTGTTTAGGTATATTGGACTGTGATTGACTATTTGTTTTTGCAGGACTTGATTTTGGAGTTGGCTGCTTATTCCTAAGTCGAGGAATCGAGTCACTATCTGAATCATCTGAAAATAATTGATTTGCTACTGCAATTTTAGATTTCGAAGGTGAATTATTTGGCTTTGGACTATTTTGTTTTGGAGTAGATGTTTGACTTGTATTGGATGTTCCTTTTTGCTTTTCGAGATATTTCTTCTTCTCATCAAGATACTTTTGCTTAAATTTTTCATCTAGTGGATGCTCCCATATAGACTCGCCTGTTTTTGTATTGAAATAGAATGACCGACTTGAACCGTCCTTTTTCTGATAGATTTTCCACTCTGGTGGTAACTTTGTTTGCAATGCTTCTTTTGCAATCCATAAAAATGGATTATCTTCGGGTAATTTCATACCAAGATATTCAGCATAGTTTTCAACTTCTTCCTCTGGTGGATCATCTTCATAAACTACATCTGATAACGCAATATAGTCGTCGTTATTCATCTTGAGGAATTTTCAAACGTGCAGATTATTAAAATCGAACATAAATGATATAATTAGCCATTTTATCTCATAAAAATTATTTTCTTCTCATACACTGAACTGAAAAATCAGGCTCAAAAAATTCTTCAAAATGAAATTGCTATTATCGAAGCTTTCATGATTGCAATCTCAATAAAATGGAATGTAAGCCTATAATATGTATTCATAGTGTAAACTTTGGGTGATTTTATAAATATTTTGAAAGTGGAGGGCGATCAATAGAGCTTTAAGTAATGTGAATAGCAAATGTCAGACACAAAAACCTTTTGGGAATGACAATATTTTATTTTGTGTTATATATTAAAAAATATTTAAAAAAAAAACTCACATTTTTAAAACATTATAAGCCTTCATCACTGTAATAGCTGTAGTCTCCATCATTGTTTTGGATTGGTTGTTGAGCAGGTTTTGCGGATTTCTTAGCAGAAGAGTAAGATCCGTATGTTCCGCTCTTTGAATAAGAATAAACTGGTTGTTCTTCTTCTTCATCAGTATATGAATAGTCATCAGGTTGATCTTGTATTGGTGGCGGAGGTTTCCTTTGGGAAGATCGAGTTGAATAACTATTTGTTCCTTGTTTCGAGTAATTGCCGGATTTGGAATAGACACCTGATTTGGAATATGTTCCTGATCTGGAATACGTTCCTGAATGATGAGCAGAATATTGAGATTTCGCTTGTGGTTTAGAGGCCGCTGGAGGAACATTATCAGCATCTTCTTCGTAATCGCTGTAGTAGCTATCATTTTCTTCAATTACAGGCATCTTAGAAGGCTGTGGCTTTTGTGATGAAGATTTATAGGATTCATAAGTTCCGTAAGTATCTTTCTTACTCTGGGAATCTTGTGTTCTCTGTGATGCAGCTGATTTCTTGGCAGAACGTTGAGAATCCTGTGTTCCAGTATTCCTATTTTGAGAATCTTGGGTTCCAGTATTCTTTCTTGATGATTCCTGAGTAGGTGTCTTCTTTGATGATGATTGGGTTGTATTTCTCTTACGGCTTGAGTAAGAATGGTCAGATTCCATCGTTGGATTCTCATCATCGTCAATCTGTGCTGAAACGTTACGAGATTTGATCTTCTTCGAGCCATTCGAGTTCAAAGAGTCTTCACTACCAAGGAATAACTTGGCATCGAAGAATGGTCTGTCTGGATTTGGATCAACTTCTGGAGAACCAGGTTTTTCAGAAGGAGATTTCGGTTTTTCTGAATTTCTGGTTGAATGTCTTGAAGATCTTGAACCTGCAGATTCCATCTCAATTTTTTCTTGGTTAATTGAGTCAGGATGCTGCGAATGCTTTGAGCTACGTGATGAAATAGAACTATCAGATTCGAAATCACCATTAAGTGACTCTGATTCACTGCTGATAAGTTCTTTGTTCTGGCTGGCTTGTAACAAGGCTGTTTCAAGAGCCAAAACAACTGGGAAGTAAAGAGGATGTGATTCTTCACGACGGAATGGATTGATTCTGATAATCGTGAAAATTGCATCATGATGCTCTTTGAAAATGGCAGCAATGAGCTCATTCTCTTCATGGACGACAGAATCGAGTTTGAATTGCTTTATCTCTTTGATCTTGTCAATTATCTCGAAAGTGAGTTTTCTTGTGTTACTTTCATCTTTCTTCTTCTGAAGCTCCTTCCACATTGCGATCATCTTGTTGCGCAACCTGTCTGCGTGGGATTTGTTCGCAAGTGTTGCATTCTGAAGAAGCGACATGAAAATCAAAGTCCAGAAGAACAAAAGTGGCTCAGAACCCTTTGTTTCGTCAAGGGTTTTGAGGGCAACTTGGAGAACGTAACGAGCTCCGCCATTCATATCCATGATATGTCTGAAAATGGCCATAACGTCGTTCTGTCTAAGTAATGGGATGTTCTTGTAAACCCAAAGTGGGTCGAGTAAGAAAATGAATCTTCCGAGCAATTCAGGCCATGATCTTTCTTCAATTGGGTTCGAAAGCTGTAAAGCGCAAACTTTTGACCTTATATATGGTGAAAGCAATTTTCTAGTATGTAAAACTGCAAGTAGGTCGTTTGCATCTTTAGATGATAAAGTTGGAATTGAAAGAATTACGTCAACTAAAGATGTATCGTTTTCTGTAATGAGAGAACCAAACTGTTCTTCTGATTCTATATGAAATGCTTGAAGAAGTTGCTTTGGAATGCCTTTTGCAAAGTTAATTGGTTCAACATCTTGAGAAATTTGTAATACGCCGAGTTTCTGTTCGCCGTTGATGACATAGAGTTTGCTATCTGCTGTAAGACGTTCCCATGTATCGATATGGCATTGAATTGTCTGTGTTTCTGTTTGGATTGTTAATCTGCTGTCAAGACTGAAAATGGCTTTGCAAGGGATTGCATCGATAGCACCGTTTGGTTTATATTGGCCATCAACAGCGCTGTAAGCAATTTTAAGGGGATCTGTAAATAATGAGTGATAATTTTTGTCTTTTAATCCTGGAATCAATGCTGCTGCCATTTGTCTAACGTATTCACTTTTGAATGATTTGTTTCCTTCAATTTGTTCGGCTAATGAACGAATCATTGGTACGTTTTTGCGTTTAAAAAGACGAGGAATATGATGATTGATGATGGTTCCATCAGGAGCTAATGTTAATGGACGAATTATCCCCTGAACCATCTCAGGTTCGTATTGAACTTGTGGAATTTGGGCTTCAAACTTTATATTCTCATCATTATCAAAATTAAATGATGTATTCTGATCATAAATAGAACTGTCTGTTTGAACATCCTTGTTCTCATATATATTCAACACTGTAGGAATCATTTTTTTGATTCTAAACCGTTACGTTTAAACTTCTAGAAATAAAGAGCTTTGAGATTTAAAATATAGACATGTCATTTGATTAAATTTAAAATTTGTCGCTAATATACATACAAAAAATCAATTCTTCAAAAGTATCCAATTTAATTTAAGATGGAATCAGCATCTCCTAGTATAAATTTATGCTCAAATCAACAAATTTCATCTAAATACTTCTCATAATAGATTTGTACTATATTTTGAGCTTATTTCGAAGAGTTTTTGCTTACAAAATGGAATATAGGCCATGACAAAGTACCAAAACCTTATAATTTATCAATTAAATAATATGCTCCGTTTTTGGAACATAAATTAAGAAATATAATTGAATTAATCTTAATCAACATTTATATGTCATATATAATAAAAATAAATCATACAACTTCTTTTAATTATATATTTCATAGGTACTAAGCCAGTGATATTGTTTTTGTCTGAATTTGAATCTGATTTGATATTTTCACTTGATGTTATCTGTGAGAATATCTTACTTATCTAAATACCGTTCTAATTATTGAGTTTTTAAATTATGATGAAGAGCAACTTTGTACGTTACTAAAAAAATTCAGAATGAAGGGGAAAAAGAACGTCAAAGGCGCGCAACAGCCAGACGTCCCTGTCGTTTTAGACTGCTGTGGTGTTGATGTAAATGATCCTAATGGAAACCACACAGTTAATTTTACATTTACTGTTGAAGCTGAAGAAGATCCTTCAAAACCATTCGAAGGTGATTTAGATTTTCAATTTCCACATCAACTAGGCAAAGCAGTCAAGCCACCAAAAATCGAAACTGGTCACCCAACTACAAAATGGGTTACAACAATGCCCGTTAATATTGATGATGCATTTATCAATCAAATTCGCGAGAAAAGATTACTTTATAAGATCGTATTCCTCTACAAATCAGCGGCCCATGGCAAGCCACCTCCAAAAGGAGCAGCAGCCGGAAAGAAAGGAAATGATAAATCCCAAACACATGTTACAAATCATACATTCTTCATTGATGCAACATGCCTTCTCGTTAGAGGTGGCAGATTTAAACCGTTTTTGACATATACTGCTTCCTGTGTACCTCCTTCGTTTACATCATTCAAGATAACGATTTCTATTGATCATCCTCTACTTAGCGATGCTCAAATACGTCGTCATCAGCCAACAGTCTGTTTCATCAAAGGCGTTCATCAACTTCCAAATTCTCCTTTATCTTACGAAGAGCTCGCAGCATCATGCCTTGGTCCATTTATTGTTCTTAAGACTGCAACTCCTCAATACACATGTTGTACGATGCCTGGAACTCACGCATCAGATATCAAAATGAATATAGCCGTAATGTTCTGGCAAACGCCATCTACAGACGTATCCATCGAACTACACGACAGAGACATTGAAAGTCCTGAAATTTCTGCTATCGTTGGTTCCTCATTTGTCGTTCCAGATCAAACAGCCAAGCAACCGAAGCAAGAAGCTCTCAGTTTCGATCAAATCCTTGGAGTTAAGAAAGAGCAGAATACGATCAGACCATACGCAGAGCTTACTTTCCCACTCAAAACTGGAAGATTCATGATTCCTTTCACTCCTGTCCAAACTTCTAATACAGTTATCATGCCAGGCGCTTATACTACATCAGGAACATATATGTCCATTGAAGTTGAGTCCATGAAGGAAACTGTCCCTCAAATGGCCGTCCAACAAGTTACAACTCCTCCATCAAAAGCAAAAGCGCAAGAAAAGCCGCATAACGCAAAAGATGACAAAAACCAGCAGAAGGTTACATTCAATACACGTCGTGTTGTCATTATAGCTCATGGCAATCTTATCCAGAAAGAGAAACTGTTCATGGATGGTCTCCAAATGAACATTGTTCGTATCAACGCTGAAGCATTTAAACAAAAAGACATTGCAACGGTTTCAAGCATGAAACTCGAAAAAGAAGATGTTCCAGCGATTTCTGGGTTCATCATGATGACTGGAGAGTTCGAAGTTACTATATTAGAAATGATAGAAAACACAGATGCTTCAACACAAATCCATAACTACTTGAAATATCCTCCAGGAGGAAACATTGATGTTTTATGTGATGAAAATCAAGTTTACAAAAGCCCAAGATTATATGGAACTTTGGACTGCGCTGTTAAGAAATTCAAGCTGGCAACAACGCTGGGACAATTGTTACTTGATCCGCAATTGTACGTACATAACTCTCATCTCGCAAATTGTTTCAAAGTCTGCAATACTTTGAAGAGAATTGAATCCGCAAAAAGTTTGGCAGAATTTGACACAGAAAACTTATGGCCACTTCAGGCAGATATAGAGATGTTGAATGCCAAATGTGGTATGTTATTGTCCCTTGATGAGCTTTCATTCCCTCCGCGCGATCCAGAAGCAGAATCCGCAAAATCAAAGGAATTAATCAGAATGAAATCAATGGAAAAACTGACAGTTGAAGAAGAAGCGCCATTGAATTATGTTCCTTTGAAGAAGGAAACTGTTGAAGTCAAGGACCATACACTTGAATACTATCAGCAGAAGAACATGGAGACAATCAGGATGCTTGAAGAGAAGAACAGAGTCCAGAAAGCAATTATTTCCGGTGTTGACGATGATGACACTTTAATTGTCAAAGATGGCAAAACAGAAATTCCTCCAAACTTCTATCCAGATAAGCCTGAACCATATGTTTCTTTGGCAGCAACAACATCAGGACCAGCACTCGCCAAAATGTTCAGACAAGAAGATGGAACAGAAATCAGAGATGGCGTCAAATTCAACAATTACGCAAATACAAAAACATATTTGCAAGATCCAATTTCACTAAAAGTTGATGTTAACCATGATCCTTGGGATAAAGGAGATAAACCACTTTGCACAGGTGCTGAACGACTCTTCGCTGATGTAAGAGGTCCTCTATATGATCAATACAACCCTGTTTGCAAACCAGGTGGTTATTTCTCTCAACAAAAGTCAATTTTCATTGATGAAGAATATAATGACAAGAAAAGTAATAAGCCGGAATACATTACTAAAGGAATTAACCACAGCCAGAAGTTCAACGCCGTTGTGGCTCCTGCCGGTAAGAATGAAGAAATCCTGGGAAGAACAGTTGCTCCTGGAACATTAAATATTCAAGAACCTTGGCAGCCTCAAGATTCAAATGTCAAAAATAACGATTTGGCAAATAAGCCGAGATTTAATACTATGTTCAAGGCACCAATAAAGAAAGGTACAACTGATAGTGCTTATGTTGCAAAACTTGTTCCAACATTCCCTACTCCAAAACCCGGATTTTAATTTTATTATTTATTTTTTATTTTTATTATTATTAATTTGTTTAGTGTTATTACAAAGTCTAAATAGTTCTATAAAGATTATTTGTTTTATAAATTCTGTTTTCATTTTAATAATATCTGAAAGAATTCAAACTCGATTTTAAAGAATATGCTATATTGAATTACTACATAGTATATTTTTCAAGTATTATATAGATATATGACACATTTTTGCAGGACTATAAAAAATATTCAAGAACAAATTAATTTTCGGATTAAAAAACGGGCTCACATAATTTTTGGATGCAAATTGGAAGTTAGGGTATGAAAATTATTCATTCAAAAAGAGAAAAAAAAATATAAAAATTAAATTTCTAAAAATTTATAGATTTAACATATATATATTCAAAAATAGAGACAAAGGAAGGAGTTAAAATGGTACAATTGAAAACACATTGTAAAGAAATTGATTTAGAAAGTCAGGTAACTGGAAAAATGATGTGTTGTATTTAAGATTGATAACATCGTGAAGGAAGAAGTAGATATGCATGGCAACAAATGATATTACGAGGGAAATTCTAGAATAAAAATCATCTGACAAAGCAATGAAGATGAATGGTAAATAATACGATGACACAGCGAAAAGGAATACCAAAAATACTGCTGGACTCTTTCTTGTGTAGTAATATAAAATTGCAAAAGAAAATTGATCAAGAAAATCTGTTATAGGTGATATATATCCGATTAACCAACAAATTAATACAATATATATTATGAATAATAAAAAGTCTGCCTGTCTTTTAATGAAATACGAAGATTCTAAATAGTAAAGGTATCTTAAAAACGATAAATTAGTTACCCAATTGCCAAATCTGCCTGGTTTGAATAAGAATAATGACGTAAAGAGTCTCCAATATTCATGCTTTTGAAATATCAGGTCTTTGTTGAAATAAAGAGAATAGTAGTCAAATTTCCCTACGTACGTAGCAATGCCAATTGATATAAGCGCTGCATACCATAAAAAACATATAGGAGCATTTGAAAATTTCATTTTTTGTCACTTTTGGTTGTGATAAATAATATCAAGAAATCATAAAGATTTGTACACGATAAGGTTTCTTATGTTTTTGAAATAGAGATTATCAGAAGAACCTGGAATATCAGGGAATAATTATTGCTCATCATAGTAATTTGCAAGTTGTCTAGATTTCTAATAAAAATAGAAGTGGAACTCATTCTACTGCGCTCTTCTTTTTCGTAACTCTCCAAAATCAAAAAAAAATAAAGCATATTGTTCTATTTTTCTTATTTTCCTAGAAATACTTTGTTTAGGACCTTAATTAGGCTCCCATTATTTATTTAGAATCTGTCATTAAAATCAAAACGGTTATTCAAAATTATTTTTCAATTTTTTCCTCTATATGAGTAATTATTTAAAGAAGTATGACGATTATATAGGAGCATACGAAAGACTCTTCCACTTGAAGTTAAACGAGTCTGCCGAAGATATTTTTATTTTGGTCAACTCAATCTTAGTCACCAAGTATAAAATGCCACTCAAAACACTTATTAAGAGCATACTTCAAGCAATCAAAAGCAATTTCCGATCTCATGAGCTTTATATTAAGCTTCTTAATCAAATTTTTACCACTTATCCATTAGAATCTAAAAACGCATTTCGAAGTAATACTTTATATAAAATAGCATGTTCTTTATATTTAAAAATACAAAATGACCATGAAACTATTATTGCTTCGAAGGGCTACAGTGATTTTTATTTAAAATTCAATCAAATTCAAGATTATATAATACATGATCGAATTGATTTGTTTAAAGAATTTATAATCAATAAAGCAATAGATGAAATTCTTATTCACACACCCAATTTCTATTTAAAGCCTTCTGATATATCAATGGGTTCTGAAGAAACATTTTCTTCACCTCTTGATGCATGTTGCTATTTTGGTTCTGTCAATATTTTTTATTTTTTTTATCTCAAATTTAAAGGCTGAAATCACTCAAGAATCCCTTCATTTAGCTTGTGTGGGTGGAAATACAGATATTATCAACGAATGCCTGAAAGAAAGACAAATAGATGAAAAATGTATACAATTCATTGCTGAGTCACATAATAATAAATTGCTCGAATACATTATTGACAGAAATTTGTTCGATTTTTCATCACCTTTTACGGAAATTGAATTTGACCAAATTATTGATTCACGAAACTTAAAATTTGTCTTTCTTATATCTGAGATAAATCAAAATTCAATAATTCCATGGGGTGCAGGATTCCCAGAAACCCTTGAATACTTAACTGAGTGCAAATTTGAATTCAATACCAAAAATAAGTATGGAAAAAATGCTCTTCTTTATGCTTTAGAAAATAAATGCATGGAAACTGTAAAATATTTGATTTCAAATGGTGTGGATGTCAATATTAAAGATAGAAAAAGAAAATCTGCTCTTTGTTATGCAGCAAAAAGTGATTGCAAAGAAGCAGTAGAACTTCTAATTTCACATGGAGCTGAAATCAAATCAAAAAGTGGGTACCTTAGATTTACTACGGGAGCAATTGATAAAAATGCTTTTCATTATGCAGTTAAAAATAAAAACGGAGAAATAATAGAGCTTCTTAATTCACATGGTGCTGATTTTATACCTTTTATAAAAGAAGCAATAGCATCTGAAGATAAAGAAGGAATTGAATTTTTTATTTCTCGTGGTTTTGATATCAATACAAAAGATATAGATGGCAGAACACCTCTTCATCTTGCCACAGTATTCCATCAACGAGAAATGGAAGAATTCCTTATTTCACATGGTGCAGATATCAATATAGAAGATAACCATGGATACACACCTAATGATCTAAAATGCTAAAAATTCCTTTGTGGATTTGGAGTGATTTTGCTGAGAATTAGTCCAACTCTCTTATATCTGATGGAAGATTTTAATAAAAACTAAAGTACTGATTGAAATTGAATCTTATTATCATATTCATATAAGTAAATCATATGAGGAGGGAAAAAAACATCTCCTTGAAATTTGATGGTTTTTAAATAACTTTCACTTCACTTTCCCGAAAGCTCCTCAAGAACTTGAATATGAACATATGTTAATCCTATTTTCTCTATTTTAAAGGTTATTTTGCGAAGTAAAAAAAATGCCATAACATTCTAAATTTTGAAATTTTGATGGCATCAATTGATTATGATTCGTATGCTAGAACAGTTTGTAATTGGTACAATGACGAAGATTTCATTGGGATGAGAACGATCCCGGAACTCACGAAGATCTTGGACCTTTGCGTTTTATCGCCAAAACAATTTAATACAATATTTGAAATCATAAGTAATAAATTTAACATTTCAGAAGCATTATGTATCCTACAACATTCTCAGATTGGTGCGCTTGAAAACGTTGAATTGGCAATTGGTTTATTGGAAACTATTTCAAGAATTTTTAACATCAAAATAATTCACAATATTTGCACATATTTAAAAAGAGAAAATTCACGTGATAAAGCAAAAATTGGAAACTATCAATCGAGAATATTGAAATATAATAAAAATGCTGCTGATTTTGAGAAAATTTACGCAGTTCTAAGGCTTGCATCAGAAGATAATGATCAAAACACTTTAAATCTGGTGTCTGAGTATGGATACATTAATGTGAAAGATGAGAATGGAAAGACATGTCTTCATCATGCGGTTTATGAAAATAATCTCAAATTACTAAAATATCTTTGTTCTACAAGAAACATTGATCTTAATGCAAAAGATTCATATGAAAATTCAGCTCTGCATTATGCAATTCAAAATCAATACAACGATTGTCTCCAATATCTCTGTTCGCGTCCAAATATTGATATTAATGCCAAAGATATGTCTGGTGAAACAATTCTACATCATGCAATAAAGAATAAAGATCTCCAAAGTATTTATTACATTTGTTTAATAAAAAAATTTAATATTAATGCAAAAAACAACGCAGGAAAAACAGCTCTACATTATGCAGCTTTTGTAAATGATACAAACATTCTTCATTTTATTTGTTCAAAACCAAAGATCAATATTAATGAAAAAGCAAACTCTGGAATGACAGTTCTTCATTATGCAGCCAAAAGAAGAGATTTAAATATGGTTAAATACCTCTTATCTTTTTCAAACATCGATCTTTATGCAAAAGATAATAACAATCATACAATTCTTCATTATGCAGCTCTGAATACTGATGTTGAGGTCATCAAATATCTCTACTCTACTTTTAATCTAAGTATGAATGCAAAAGATAATTATGGTAAAAATCCTTTTGATTGCGTACCATCTAATAACAATAACAATTTTGTAAAGAAATATATTAGCCAAATTTTAAATATTGAATGGTCGCCCTATCTCGGGAGTTTAAGCTATTACAGACCTGATGAAATAAAATATAGTGAAGAACGTGGTTTTTATTCGTCCAATGACTTTACGGAAAAATATTGAAGATTTTCAATTAAATTATAGAATTGAACATCAGGAAAAAGTTCATATGTATAGACTGAAAAAAAAGATCTGAGGAACCTTTTTGTAAGTCTGCACGAAAGTGGTATTCCTGACATTTGTCTCCAACAACAAAAATAAAATAAAAACTTCCACTAAAACTTGATTTATAATATTTAAATATATCATGAAACTGGCTCAACTTTATATATTCTTCATGATATTTATGGAAAAACAAATCATAAATAATCTTTAGAACAAAAAAGAATATAGTACTATCTTGATTCTGAAAAATTTCCTATATATATTGAGTAATTTTGAAAGTAATATATGTAAAAAAATGTAAAATATTTTGATGCTAAATCTAGTGATTCAGGGAAAAGAGTCAAATTCACAAATTTGACGAAGTGAAAACCTTTTTTTTCTCAAAATTATGTCGAACGGAATTCCAATAAAACTTCTTCATGAAGCAACGAATTTTGTTGTTGAAATCCATCTAAACACAGGTGACTCATATCGAGGCACCCTAAAATATGTGGAAGACAACATGAACTGTTGGTTGACTAATGTTGTTCACACTCAGAAAGACGGACAACAAATAAAGTTCGATAAAACATATGTTCGAGGATCCAACATTCTTTATTTTGATCTCCCAGAAATGCTTCTTAATGCAAGATTATTCAAAACTGGAGAAACTGAAGTTAAAAAGAAATACAGTGGTAAGTTAAGAAGAACATTCATGACAGTTAAAGTACGAAAACAATCAAAGTAAGTTTAAATGACTTAATCGAAAATTTTACATCTTAGCAATTTTCTTACCTTTACTGCGATGCAGAGATTGGTTGTAGATTTTATGTTACAAATTTCAATTTTTATCCTGTATAATTCCATTTTTATAAATGTTTTGTTATTAACTTTAAAATTTTTACAAATCCACATAAGGCCCCAAAAATTTACGTGATTACAAATAGATATAAATATGAATTGAATATAAATCATAGTTATTGAAATTCAATTTCGTTAATACCTAAGAGAAATTGCATATTGTGGTCGCCTATTCATACATCTGGAGAATGTATGTATATTTTACATTAGCCAATAGATAGAAAGGTCATTTTCTATCGATATTTTTAGCATTATTTGTTTCTTGGTCAAGCCAACAACAAAAAAATACATTTGTTTCATGTGTAAGTATATGAAATGAGTTTCGTATTCCCCAAGTATTCTGAAATAGGGGGATGGTCTAATTTTATTTAGGGGGATAGCATTCAAAAAACAAATGTCGAACAAGCTTTGTATTATTCCTATTGGCGATTATGCTCCAATGCAAGACTTCATTACAGCCATCACAACCGATGGAGAAACAATCCCTATCAAAAACAAGTACTTTGAATGCGAAATTAAAGTTGATATGAATTATAAGAACAAACCTGTTGCAGTTATTTGGGTAGGTTTTGCCAGATTCGTTGATATGATGCCTCCAAATGCTGAAAAATTCCAAGATTGTGAGCTCAGACTCATTTTAAGAGTCCTTGAAGATGGTGACCAAGAAGAAGTTCCAGCGAAAATTTCTGATTGGGAAGTAGAATCAATGGCAGAAGTAATAAATATCAGAATGTCTACAATTGAAGAAGAATTAAAGAATTTCCGTTCTGGAAAAGCACGCTCATCTCTTTTAGATGAGGAACAGCAACCAGCAGGTACACGTATTATGGAATCATTAGAACTTGTTGATTGGCCGATTAAGATGTCAGCAGGCAAACCAAGAATGGAACAAAGAATTGAGCAAATGGTCGCATTACTTAAATCAAATGACCCAGAATGCGAGAACTTCGATCAAGCTCTTAGCATCATGATGGAATTGAAGGATCAAATACCGAAATTACCAGACGCTGAACGCCATAAATATGCCGCAGCTGTTGCACTTGCTTTTGGCGAAATGCTCGGTGTAGGCGATGAAGAAGAAGAGCAAGCCGAAGAAGGTGCGGCTGCCCAAGAACCAAACCAATAAAATTGTGTATCAAAATTTTTTTTTGTAATGGGCCAATCTTTTCAAATACTCATAAATCATTATTGTTATGAATATGTTACAATAATTATACTTAAATGTTATGAAATTTAAGAAATTTCAATAATCAGAGCTTTCAATCAAACGATACATTACTTAAGCTACAAAACATGTTGCAAAAGAACTATTTGAGTAATAAATTTTATAAAAAATACTTTATCTAAAATATGGTAAAAGATCTAGGAATATGTATATAAAAAAAGAGCTTAGACGCAGAAAGCGTACATCTTTGAAATGCAGACGCCAGAACCTCCAAAATTCTCAAGGCATCTAACTGTAATATATTCAGCAGGAACTGGCTGATCAAGATCGAAGAAGTGTTCACCGGCTCTATGTTCAAGTGTAACGTGTTTAACAACTTTCATGTCTTTTGGATCTGTTCCAAGGAGGAATTCTATTTCTTTTGGATTTTGGTTGTTTTCACCATGAAGATAAAGACCAACACGACGAATGTTATATTGCTTGTCGAATTTCAATGTGAGATGCTGTGGAAGACTCTGATAATAGCTACTGAACCAAACAAATGTTGGATCGCGTAATAAAATATTAAGAGCACGACTCTCGTGGTGATATTGAGATGAAAACTCATAAACTGTTGCACCGTTTGGTCCTACACAAAGGTTTTTGTACTGCATTCTAAATTTTTGGTTTTTTGTGTCCGTCTGATTTTTTTTTACAGAAAAATTTAAAACATGGTATATTTCGGATTTTTCCTTACAAATGATATTAGCTTATATAATATGCTCTATATACTCAACAATTATTTTCCAAAAAAAATTCAAAATTAAAAAAAAATAATCTGAAAAATTATAAAATGAATATTAAAAAATGAAAAATCGAAAAAATTTGGGGAAAAACGCAAAATTTAAAATACACGAAAGCCATTAATTTTAGGTAAATATAAGTTTTTTTAATATTAATCATGAAATTCTTTAGATTTTGAAAATTGTGAATTTTTTGAAGAAGTCAGTGATGCTGAAATAGTTCACCGTTCCTTCAAACATTCAGATTATATTAGCGATATTCTATAATTTAAATTAGATACGTTATCAAACAATAAAAAGAAGTTAGCTTCAATTATCAAATGATTTGATACTCAACGCGCAATACTTTAATGATTTTGATATGTTTTAACGTAATTAGTCAAAAATTATTGAGGTTCATATAATACAAAATCGTTTATATATATAACAAAGCAATAGCCTGATCAATAAATGGTCAAGCAAAAATCTATAAATGAATGTATCATTCAGTCTATAATTGTATATTATATAGTCCTTGAGGATGGATCTTGATTTTGTGGATGATGTACCATAAGATCCTCAATACGGGGGACCCTTGGAAATTCAAATACGGGAGGCTTTTCTTTCTTTGGAGGTGGTTGCTTTTTAGTCTTCTTTGCTTTTTTCATTTTTTCTCGTACCAACTGGAAATACCGAATCTTTACCTGATCTCCTGATCTGTTTTTACTTAAAAACTTTGCTATAAAACACCACTTATTTTTATAGGTTTTATGTACTTCGAGTATTGTTTGATCTTCTTCAGGTGTAAACGGTGACATATCTTTGCTTAAAAAACCTTTGTATCTTTCTTCAATTGATCTTGGTTTATGATTTTCTCCAATTATGCGTAAAATAGAGTTCAACGCCCTCTCCTTATCATTAGGATACTTAGCATAATATTTGAGTATAATTTCATCATCTTCTCTGGTAAATCTATGAACAACTTTACCAGTCATTCGCTTCAGTCTAAATTGAGAATGTATTCAATTCACAATCTTTTCATCATCCTTTTATTAATAAAAATCGTATATTTGATCTTTTTTCATTTATTAATGATTATGCACTCCACGAGTGGTCATTCAAATTTTCAAATAGGATTTATCCATTACATCTAGGACATAACGCATAATCATATTATCAATAAAATAAAATTGAATTTTTGATTATTCACAAATCAAGGTTATGGTATCGTGGATATCGAAATGATACTGAACAATAATTCATACGTTTTATAAAAGGAATAAAAATTTAAGTGTAGAGTATTGAATTCTAATAAAAATTTCAACAGACTAGATTTGAACCAAAATCAACACCACAAAAGTGTTGGTTTTGTACGTAAAATATCAAGTACAATAAGGGTTTCGTTTTGCTAAAATTGTCACTTTTATAGCTAATTAATTTTTGGTTGTTTTGCGAAACCTAAAAAAAAATTCGATAGTCATGCTTATAGAACCCTCTTGCTATTGTGTCAAAATTGCGAAACCGATAGCAAAAATATCTCGCAATATCAAAAATGAGACATTTGGTGAATTATGCATTATACAGATTGAAAATATGATTTTTGAAAACATATCATAAGGGTTTCGTTTTGCTAAAATTGTCACTTTTATAGCATATTTGTTTTTGGATGTTTTGCGAAACCAAAAAAAAACTATGATATACAATGTGTGTGTAAAGAAAATACTTTATTTACTAGTTAAAAAATCATTTGGTATTGATCAAGTTATTTTTTCTGGATAAGATATTATATGGATAATTGGATAGAAAATACAATTATATAATCTTGTACCTGGTTTAATTAAGCTAATTGTCATCAGAAACTTGTAATTTTTATGAATTTCAGATTTTCTTTTCATTACTGCTTTTCTTAATAGGTCAAGTTCTTATTTACGTTATAAAGTATGATATTTACAAATATCAAGTTATCATGTTTTTTAAGAAATTATGAGAAACAAACAAAAATGAAAAAGATAGGAATAGCAATGAATAGTGATGTGGGTATAGAAAATGTAAGAGATATGAATGCAAAGCAATCAGTATTTAGGATATTGACCATAGATTTCGAAAAAAAAATGCTGCATATTGAGCGAAAACTATGATTATATTATAAGGCTGTCATTTAAAGCATAATGAAACTATTCCCTTTTCATTTTAATCGAATAAGATAGTAAAGATTTTTGAATTAGCTAGAAACTGATGAGATGTTTTCACAAATCAGATTTTTAATCTCTATAATGCATAATTCACTCAATATCTCAATTTTGATATTGCGAGATATTTTTGCTATCGGTTTCGCAATTTTGACACAATAGCAAGAGGATTCTATAAGCATTATTATCAACGTAGAATCTGAATATCATATCAGAAAATGTCGCAAATCTGACATTTACCCGACCAAATAGCAAAAATAATTGAATACTTTTCGCAAAAACCTTAAAAATCGATAAAAATATGAAATATAGATATTAAAGAGACTTTTTATATAATATTCATAAAGATTTTCCAAAAATATGATACCGCAAAATTAAAAAAGTGACGTCTTGAGTGGAGTCAAAGGTCGAAATTGCTAGCTAAATGTTTTTTTAGCGAAATTGCGTATTGTACGTTTTTTTCGCAAAACGAAACCCTTAAGTACAATCGAACACATACAGATATATTTTCGCAAAAAAGCAACAAACGATCAGCCGATCATTTTTGAAAAATCCATTGAGTAATAAAAGTGACAAATTGATGCAATGATTAAATTTCGGTTTTTATGGAACAAATTTCACTATCTGATTTAGCTTTGAAGACATTTAAATCAATAACTCAAGATTACGCACCATACCAGTTAATGACAATGCTTCAAATCTTTAATATTTTCAAAAAAAATTATCATTTGACAAATATTATTGACGAATTTAAAAATATTCTCAACGAACTTGTTCGTTCCAACAAGCTTGTTACACAAACAACAACGAAATACAACTTGATTCGATATTTTTATACGAGCCAAATCCAATCTAAACCGATCGGATTTAAGTCTACCCTAGAAGTGATAGAATTTTGCCGTAAAGAGCTTCTAGAAAGTGATCAAAGCATTGCAAGCCTCTCATCTAAATGCAATTTCCCTTTGAAACAAATCAGATACTCATTAGCAACATGCGAAGCAATTGGACTTGTAACAAGACGCGATACAGGTCCTTTTAAGTCAGCCGTTCTTACCTGGCGTCAAGATCGTGAAAATTCCCTTCCAAATATCATTGATAAAATTAAATCAATGAACGAAGCAGGTCTTGTCGTTAAAAGAGTTTAATTATTTAAAAGAACTACGTACATTTCATTTTTTTACAAAAATAAACAAATAATTTTTTTTGATTAATCAGTTTTTTGTTTTCCATCATCAAGAGTGATGATGAACCTTGCAATTTTCCAGAGGATTGCTTTTGGCCTCACGAACAGATCATGGTATTCATTTCCATTCAAATGTAGAGAAATTTTATTCCAAACTTGTCTATGAAATTCATTATGACAATGCTTGAACGGTAGTATTAATATAAGATATTCAATGAGAACAAGAGTATAACCTTGAGATCTCTTTGAAAACGCAGAATACAATAAAAGTTCAAGAGGACATGCTATTTCAATACAAGCTTTGTAGAATTGAATTTGGTTATCATAGGGTTTTTCATATTCAGAGATTTTTCGAAGATCTTCCGAGAATTTTTCTGAAGATAAAAGTTTGCAAACTTCAGTTGCGTATGTAATTACTAATGATGTAACGAATAAAAGTGAAGAAACTTTGTATTTTGCAAATGAACTCAAGATTATAAAAGAATGTAAAAAATAATTATGATAAATTAAGTCGAATGTAATTTTTTCCTGCTGTTGGATGTATGCAATTCCAACACCGAGATCAAAAATTGCAATTATCCAAAAACTGAACTTTGAGAATTTAAATGGAAACAAAAACGTAAAAGCCGAGAGTACAAACATGGTGAAGTTTGCTACAGTTTGAATAGTTAAATAATTGGGTGCTTCAGTTAAGGATTTGATGATGTTCTCCCGAGCCGGCTTTTCAGGTTTTTCTGTCATTGTTCAAAAATGAACTTAACATAGCATAAAAGAATAAAAGACGACCAAATTTAAAAGATCCTAATGGAAATTGATAATTCTGAATCAAAATATGTATACAAATCGCTCTAATCACTTGGCATAAAATATATTGTATAAAACATGCTTCAAGAGTCGATTTCCAGATAAAATGCCTCTGGATGAAAATCTTATTGATTCAAACTTTTCTATTCTTAGTATATCTTTTTTTTTATGAACTTATTGTTTTATTGCATATATGGCATGACACTTATTTCTCCTAATGAATTTTAAATCAAAATTTATATGGATAAATGCAAATGTCTCCTTTCAAAAAAATTAATGTCCGATCAAGACATTGATCCAAATAAATACAGCAAATTGCGAAGTAAGTACAAATACCACATTGATTCATATAATGCGTTGTATCAGCTAAAAACTGATAAAGAAGAAGAATTAAACGAAATTTACAAAATGATCAAAACAGAAATGATTGAATCAAATAAATATCCACCCCAAAATGCTATCAATGATATTTTTGATATCATCATTTATAATAATCGCTATACAAAGTCATATTTGAAACTTGTTAAACTCATATTTGATGATTCTCATATCAAAGAGTTCAGAGTTTCTGATATTATTTCAGGCATCATGTTTTATAAAGAATATGGAATTAAATTAGACAAATCTGATGATTTCGAAGAATTTAAACCAACAAATCTGGATATTCATACAGAAAATACAATTTACAAAGCAATTATGTATAATAACTTGAAAGCAGATTATATCCATGGTCGGGTAAAGCATATTCATTGCTTGAATTATGTTGTTACCATGGAGCAGTTGATTGTTTTAAATTATTAAGAACTAAATTTAAGTCAGAAATAACTGAAACATGTTTAGAATTTTCATTTTTAGGAAGAAACAAAGAGATCTTGAGTGAATGTTTGAAATATAAAACACCAAATGAAAACTGCATGTTTTATGCAGTTATTTCACACAACATTGATTTTGTTACATTCTTGATGAATGAGTATAATATAGAGATTGATTTAAGATATTGTGAATGGTTTCATAATCTTGAATCATTTTTAGTTTATTTCGATCGCACTAATAATTTTAACAAATGCTTTCTTTTTTCAACCAGATTTAAAATACCATCCTTAAGCGAATATTTTCTTTCACATGGTGCAAATATTAATGAAAAAGATGAATATGGATGCACAGTTCTTCATTATGCAGCAGAAAATTATAGTAAAGAAATAGTCGAATTTATTCTTTCACATGGTGCAAATATCAACGAAAAAGGTAAAAACGGAAAAATCGCTCTTCATTATGCCACAGAAAATTGTAGTAAAGAAATAGCCGAAATTCTACTTTCACATGGTGCAAATATCAATGAAAAAGATAATAGTGGACACACCGCTCTTTTTATTGCAGCAATGTACAATTATAAATTAATAGCCAAACTTCTTCTATCATATGGTGCAAATATCAATGAAAAAGATAATGATGGAAAAATCGCTCTTCATCATGCAGCAGAAAATAATAGTAAAGAAACAGTCGAAGTTCTTCTTTCACATGGTGCAAATATCAATGAAATAGATAATGATGGATACACCGCTCTTTATTATGCAAGAAAGAATAATAATAAAGAAACAGTCGAAGTTCTTCTTTCACATGGCGCAAAAGAATAATGTTCCTATATAAGATGTTAATATAGGGTGTCCAAAGGTGCGTTTAGCACAGCGCTCTATATGAGACTATTAAAGGAGATATATGCTGATTATAAATATATAATAAAAAATATGAATATATGTATATGATGAGTATGTTGTATTTTGGCGCCATGCCGGGATATAAAATGAATTTTGAGACAAGAGGCGGTTTCGCGGGAAATTTTGGCGGGATTTTTTTCATTTTTTTAATGAATCATAAAGAAAACATCCTCGCTCTTGCAAAAAAATGCAAAGACTGTAAAAAAATCTACGAGACATTGGTAAAATGCTTCGGTATGGATGCTCCTAGCTATTCCACTGTAACGTATCATGTTAGGATGTATCACTTCATGAACAAAAAGGCGCCCATCATAAAAATTGACAAAAAATCGCCGGATCAAAGAAAAATCAAAGCAATTCTTCAAGCGCTAGATGAAGACCCAAGAGCATCACTCAGAAGGATAGAGGAGATGACAAAGATACCACGTACAACAGTCAGTTATTATCTGCACAATTATTTGAACTACAAACTAGCGTATACACGTTGGGTTCCGCACAACCTTAATTCAGTTCAAAAAAAATCTAGAGTCCAATCTTCGAAAGAGCTCCTCTCTATATTGGGTGCGTATCAATCCAAGAAGTTTCGCTTTTTAGTAACAGGGGACGAGTCTTGGTTTCAATATGCAACAGAAGCCAAAATCATGTGGATCCCGAAGGATGAAAATCCGCAAACATTCCCGAAGAAAAAAATTGACACACCAATGATGATGTTGTCGGTTTTTTGGGGCGTGAATGGCATCATCGCAATTGATATTCTTCAAAAACCTAATACGATGAATGCTCAGTATCTAATTGACAATGTTCTTACTCAAATTATCAATTCTGATGAGTTTGAGAAATCCAAACAACAAAAACAAAAGTTTGCAATTCATTTTGATAATTCAAGAGTTCACAAAAGTCATAAGGTAATGAATTACTTGGTGGAAAACAATGTCAAAGTTGTTCCAAACCCAATTTATTCACCTGATATTGCACCCTCTGACTTTTATTTATTCGGCACGCTAAAAAAGAGAGCTGAAGGACGCGAATTCGCGAGTCCAGATGATCTTGAAAATTTTGTAAGAGAGCAATTTGAGCAATTTTCTCATGATGATTTAAAGCGTGTCTTTCAAGCCTGGATCGATCGCTGCGAACGCGTGATTGAATCCAATGGTGATTATATTTAAATAAACTTTATATATATGTAACTTGTTTATTTCTATTCGCAGTATTCAGGTTTGTGCTAAACACACCTTTGGACACCCTATATTTCTTTTCTGATATATTCGATCAAGAATAAATAGAAAATCATATTGTTATTTTGTTATTAATTTTTTTTTTGATCAACTTACTGCTCTAAATAAATACAATGAATTGATAAGTATATATAAATACTATTTCTATACAAACATTGCGCTATATCAGCTAAAAACGAAAAATAAAGAAGAATTAAATAATGATTTAGAAATAAAGATTATAAATAATAATAAAAAAATCAAACAAAAATTACTTCTGACCTTGAATTGCCAAAGATTTCCAAACTTCTAAGTTAGCTTTAACAGAGTTCAAGTTAACTTCGAGTGGTGGGAACAATCTTGCGACAACCTGATACAAAGGCAAGCAAACGAAATTGTAGAAACCAATTTGTCCCTTTGGTTTATCCTGGTTATTTCTATCATTCAAAGGTGATGAAAGACCTAAGCCATTCTTGATTTCATTATCACCTTGTCTCCAGAATTCTTCTGATAATATATCACACCATTTATCAGCGAGTTTGAATGGTCTTGACACGTTTGAAATATCACCAATCTTAAGCAAAAGTTGCATGGCCAACATTCTGTGTTCATCTTTCTTTAGATCGAATGTGTTTTCATCCAAAAGTGCTCCAGTATCTTTAACCATCTTGAAGTGATGAGCCATATCTGTTGCCAAGATGAGTTTGATGATCATGTTCCACATCTTTCTGATATCGGTTGGATTCAAAGCGTGTAACAAGTTTGTTTCATCATTTGACAAAATTTGAATTGCAACTGTACAATGATGAGTTTCCATGACAGATTGGGACTTGAATAAGATACCAAGAGGAGTCTCTGACTTCTCATTGTATACGTTGTTGAAGCCATCATGTCCTGCATCATGGCAAACAGCGGAAAGTAACAAAGCAAAGATCTCAAGAGGTGTCAAAACGTTCTCGAGTTTTGCAGTTGTTATTTCGTAAGAAACATATTCTACGACATCGACAGCATGTGTCCAGTTGTGGTAAGGAACATCGTGGTAGTAGCTGCGGACTTCGTAAATGAATCTGAAGAACATCTCGTTCGTGATACTAAATCTCTCCAAAATCTTGAATTTGTTGAACAAATAGAACAAGATTTTGACCTGCCCAATTCCTTTACAATCAGTGCATAAGAAGTTGAGACTTGAAGCAGTGCTCTTCTGGTCATCAGAGAGAACTAAGCGATTTGGAATATCATAGGACTGGCGCTCTGATTCGCCAACATACTTGGCCATCTCTATTTCAGCGCTACCGAGTTCTGCGATGTTCTTTAATCTGGCGTTTTCTAATGAAACACTTGCAAATGTTGCGAAACTCTTGATCATCGTTGCATCCTTCTCCGAGAAAGAACCTGTTTCCTTGTTGACCATTTCAACAACACCGAGAACTTCTCCACTCTTAGATATAATAGGAGCTGCAAGTAATGATGTAGTCTTGAAACCAGTCTGTTTATCAACACTGCGGTTGAAACGTGGATCTGAATATGCGTCAGTAACTGAAATGATTTCTTTCGATTTGACGCAAGCACCGACAATTCCTGCTGCCAAAGGAAGTGTTGCAGGAAGTTTTCCGCCATCACTGATGAAGGAACTGAGTGTTGATGTCGTTTCATCGACAAGGAAGACTGCGGCGCGTCTGGCATCGACGGATTTGCGTGCATTCGTGACGATGTCTTTGAGAACTTTCTGGAGAGAGCCATTTGTCGTCAAAGTCATCGAAGCATCGAAGAATGAGCGCAATTGGTTTGTCATGTCGATACTTTGTCTGTAAAGGGTGGCGTTTTCGAGTGAAATACCACAGAAAACGTTGAAAATCTGGATAAGATGGGCATCCCAGGCTGTGAAAGGTGTCATGTCAGCCTTATTAACCATTTCTGTGACACCAATGACTTCGCCTGTATTGTTATTGATGATAGGAACGGAAAGGATAGAGCGTGTGCGATATCCTGTCTCCATATCTGTTGTATTATCAAATGAAGGATCAGAATAAGCATCAGCGATATTGATAACCTTCTTTTCTGTAACTGTCTGGCCTGCAATACCTTTGTTGATAGGAATATCAATGGAATTGGCAAGGCCACGTTGGAATGAAGTGATAAGACGATCTCGAGATTGAGAAACAATGAACAAAGAGCAGCGATCTGCCTTTGTGAGCTGACGACCTTTCTCCATGATAACTTCTGTAAGTCTGTCGATCTCGAGCTGGCCAGATAAGATTTCTGCGACTTCGAGAAGGGCCGCGAGACCTTCTCTTTCCGCGCGACTGCGTTCGAATTCTGTGTTGATGTCAGTGTAGATATGGCTATTGAGAATGGCCAAAGTGATAAATGGAGCCACTCTGCAAAGAGCGTTTTCATCTTCGTTTGTGAAGATAACACCAGTCACTGTACCACGGAGAACAACACCGTATACTTCATCTGGGCTGTTTGTCGTTACAGGGACAAATAATAATGGTTCATCGTATTGGCCATCGATATCTGGGTTGTATTGAGGATGCAAATGTGTTCTTGGACAGTTAAGAATAGCTCCTTCGCTAAGAGCTGCTCCGACAATTCCAGATTTTTCAACAGTACTTTCTAAAATGTTGAATCCGTACTTGAAAGTCTTCTGAGATAGAAGATCGATACGCCAAATTTCGCAATTTCTAGCTCCTAAGTAATTCTGAATACGGTTGCAGATTTGAGGAATAATTTGATCGAGAGTTCCAAGAGAAAGAAGATCAAGGAGCATCGGCTCATTAGCTGGTGCGCGCAAGAAGAATCTTGAGTAAACTTGGAACTTGTATTGGAACAATTGTCCCCATTTTTCATCTTCTTCTGTAAAATCTGGAGATCCAAATGGTTTGACAATCTCTACAACACCAACAACCTTATCCTTATAGTCCCAAACAGGAATGATGAGAACAGGACAATCTTGTGGAATTGTAAATGAATCTGTTGGAGCGTGATAAGAAGGATGTGTTGTAGGCTTTGATGTTCTGATGATTGAACGTGTAAAGTATGCGTAAGCAACAATGCCAGATGTTCTTGTTGAAGAAATACGATATGTAGGTGAGAAAAGTTGCTGAATACTTGGAATATCTTGGAAGTATAATGTGTTAGAGGCTTCAAATTTGTTATTCATGAATGTTTCAGTTGCATCAACAATAGAACTTGAATATGCTTCAATAAAGAAATCATCAAATTCATTAACTAATTGATCGTTAATAATGGCATCAACATCTTGTTTCTTAACAAGATGAGAAACTGGTTGAGCAATTTTTGGTCGAGTATATGATTTAGTTTCAATGTTTGTTGTTTTGTTTGGAACACCACCAACCTTAGTAGATGTTCCCATCTTGGCATCATGCCTACGATTATATGGTCTTATTAATCTTGGGATCAGAGGCTTTGTACCTGTAAATCCCGGAGGCATTTCAAATAAAATAACGTGATTTTTTTTTCAAATCAAAAATTATGGGGAAAATAACTCTTTCAAACTGAAAATACGTGTAAGACCCCATTTTATGGTCAATCTTCTTTACATTTTGCGTTTTTCATGATAGATTTGTGTGGAGTAATCTGCTGAAATGCATCGATGGAACAGGTTTCCAAATTAGATTATATGCCCCTGAAATTATGTGCAAAATAACATGTTTTAAAAATGACTTTTAAAGATATAAACAGTTAAACGTATTTTCTCGATTGAAACAATGATTAACTAGAAGGTGTAATCCGAAATTCTTCTACTTCATTAAAAGCAACATTAAAAGCCTGAAAGAATGCTCTTATTCTTTTTACAAACATATTTTTTCATATGGTGGTAAGCATACATAGATATTCTAGAATTTTGTAAAGAATGCATTTACAGAATTCTCTTATTTATAATAAAATTAGATATTTGATCAGATTATTAATACAAATCGCCAACAGGAAGCTTCATTCTTATACACATTCTGATACTTATTTTAAGTCAGATCAAAATTTGGCTAACTTTTCAAATTTTTGATTTGCTGCATAATAAAGAGGAGTTTCTCCATTGATATCTTTTTTTTTAAATTTTGAAAAAGTGAAAAGATAGAGTATGTTGAATGTCTGCTATAATGTATTGAATATTATTATTAAAAAAAACAATTCTATCATAAGTAAAAATTACCGTTTAAAGTACCTTATATTATTAAAATTCAATTCCATTTAAAGTCGATAAAAAATTGAGGGTTTTTAAAAAACCGCCGTTTGAGAGGAAAATTGAGAACCTCGATGTATACTTTTTGACATTGTCAAAAACTTTGAAAGGACCAAAAATTTTTTAGTGTCAGAAAGTTTACAAATGTATACTTTCTGACGAACAGACCCTCAGAAAGTACTCAAACTGCGATTTTTAATTTCCGTACTTTTTTTTGGCGACCTTATATTTAAAATACACTGGAATTGATAAGAAAAATTCTCTAATATTAAATTTATTTTATATCAACATAAAAAAATATAAAATTCTATTACTGTGATTGGATTTGATTAATAACTTCCTGGTCAAGTATTTTTCCTTCCTGGTGATAGAACTTTGGTATTAAATCTTTCATTGTCTGCAAAACAGCATCTTTCAACTTCGGAATCGAAGCAACACTTACACAGAATCTTGAAATCGATTCTCTCATTTCCAAACAAGAATCATCCATGAAAATAATTACATCCTGTAACTGTTTTGGAATTTCTTCAACATCATGGCATCTGCAAACAACAGTGCATAAAATATCAGCAGATCCAACTCTTACAGGTACCAAAGGATCACTCAATCTCCCCTTCAAAGCTTCAAACAATCTTGGGTATTTAGGTGTCAAATCTTTTGTCATTTGCACAACTTCTCTCATCGTTGCAACAGCAGCAGATCTAACCATATCCGATGTTTGGTCATCCAAAGAAGCCAAAGCCATTGGGAATATTAAAGCGAGATTTGAATCAAACAGTTCCTGATTGATGCATTTTTCTCTCAATAATGATCCCAATGCTGATGTTGCGCTTTCTCTGACAGGAATGTATTCTTTTCCTGATTTCCAGACCATGTCATCCAAAACAGCTGAAACTAGGGATTGTGTAACAGCAGGCAATGCTTTAGAAACAGAAAGTTCTGTAATTAACTTGTAAATGGCTGTTCTGGCCGCTCCAGATGTTAATGACTCGATCATTGCAGTGCAAACTGAAGGATAGATCTCTGCAACGTCTTTTGGAGGAGAATGCTTCAACAGGAGAGTAAGGAATCGATGAGATTTCCTTTGTGTATCGAGAAGAGGAGGAAGATAATTTCCGAAAATCTCGGAAAGTGGGGAATCAAAGCAAATTTCGAACTGTGGGAGTGCATCTGCATGTTCACAAATCCTAAGGATGGATGTAGCAAGAGGAACAACGTTTTTCTCTCGAAATTCTTGAGATTTTCGACAAATTGCAATAATTAATTGCGCTGCTTGATTAATAATATCAGTCATATCGAAAACTCTATTAATAATGAAAGAATCTAAAGTTGCACCTAAATCTTCATCAGAAAACTGACAATTGACGATAGAAATTGAGAGGGCTTCAATCAATTCCTTTGTACAACGTTCTGAGATCTTTGGAAGCAAGATGGCGTTGACTTCTGCGAGGCTTGTCATTTCTGCGAACAAAGCAATGCAGCGCTGCGTTTCTTCGGCCTCATCTGGGTGATCTCTTAATGCGGTAACGAGAGTCATCAGAATCTGAGGTGCGTAGCGAGCAGAATATGCATTGGAGACATGCACAAGGGATTTAAAGGCTGCAAAACCTAAATGGCGAGAGTGGCTCTGCCAATCTGATATCAAAGTCAAAATCCTGTTAATATAGATCTTGAAATTCTCATGCAATAACTGTAACGCCGATGAAGGAAGTTTACGCTTGCCATCGAAGGCAATTTCAATTTGATCTCCAAGATTCAAATCTGATGCGTATTTATTTGCGATTTCTTTGAGTGATTTGTATGCTTCGTATCCTTCCTTAACTAATTCTACCGGTTTGAGGGTCTCATTTGGCAAAACTGGGCGAACAGGAACAATTTTACTGAGAGAGCATAAAATTGGGAATAAATACTCGCCATACATTTGAGAACGTTGTGGGTGCTGAACGAGCATGTCTTCGCAGAACTTAACTAATGCTTTTCTGACAATTAATTTTTCATCTTCGGCCAACTTTTCCAATAATTCGGAAAATTGGTCTAGCATGTATCCAGACTTTATGAGAATGTTAGATAACGTTTCGAGTGAGCGTCTTCTGATTTCTACTTGTCTGTAAGTTAAATTTTTACGAATATTATTGATAACAACTGGTGTATTGAGGTATAAACATTCCTGTGTGCAATGATTGACTACTGCATCAAGGCAATCACATGCACGAAGCTTCATTTGTGGATCATTGCTATCAAATTTTTTGGAAAGAGCTTTAAAAGCATCGTAGCAGTATTCATCAAACTTTGTTGGTAATGTTTCTGGTGTTGGAAGACTTGCAAGGTTTTTCAATAAGTCTACAAGAAGATTTGAAATTTCTTCTCTGTCTTCTTTTTCAAGACGTAAGAAAATCATACTTAACATCGTACGATATGTATCATCCAATGCTTTATTTCCTAGTTGTTCGAATAATTTGATTGTTAATAAAAGACTGTTTTCTCTGACAGACTCAGAACTATCATCAAAATGAAATACTATTGGCTTTACACATGAGTTAAGAAAGTCAACTGGATTTTCATAAAGTAAAGCTGGTGATATTTCTAAATCTGAGATACTTTTTAATGAATTCAATCTATCTCTTGGTCTATCACTACCAAGCTGTGTTAACAAGCTATTTAGCCACGGTTTAGCTTTGTCCTTAGCTGGATCTTGACTCATTTTTAATTAATAATGAACGTTACAAATTTTAGGTCGTCACTTTTCCCCAGCTATTCTACCCTTCCTGATACCCCTTATATGAAAATTCAGTAAGGAATTTAGTTACATTCAACAGAAAGCGCAGAGATTCAAATCAATAATAAAGATTTAAATCTTTGAAATGAAATTTCATGTTTTTAAGCACTAATTGATGTAAATTTATACAAGGTAGAGGAAATCTATACATAATTCCTCTAAAAGAGTTATTAGAAATTAAATCGGGAAATGGGATGTTTGCTTGAATTTCGCAAGACTCTTACATCCTATCTTCCGGCTTCATGCAGATCAAGGTCAAAGAGCATATCGCATAAAAAGTTCTGGTTTTTATGCATTGTATTTATCTATTTTGTTGCATTAATTGTTTTCTTTTTATTTCTTCAAATAACACGCCAATTTGATATCAAATACGTAACAGACGTAATGAAATTCGACAGTTCTTATAAATATATTAAAGAAAAAGAATCGAATAATACTTGGATAAATATGTTATCTACATTTCGGAATACAAATGGAAATATAATAAGCAGAATTAAGAAATTTATCGATTTACCACAATATGCAATCAATAAAACAAACATGTGCATTAGAAGAGACTATTATTTATTTGAGTTTCTTAGAATATTCGGAATAAACCCACTCAGAGCAGATTACTATGCTAAATATACTCTTGTAGTAGGCTCACAATCCTCAATTGGACAAGCTGTAATTTCAGAACTAAAAGAACGTAACATTCACTATTTAACTGTTAACAATTCAGCACTACTAGACTTTACAGACAAAACCCTTAAAACAGTTTTGGATTTTGTTCAAATAAATTCGATAATAATTTGTGATACAACAAACAGCTATCGTCACTCCGATCATAATGTATCTAAATACATCAACAAATACGATACAAAACTAATTAAAGGGATAGTTTCATTAGCTCAAAATTTAAATGCAAATATTACTTTTATTAAGCTTCCGTATGCAAATCATTTGACAAATTTACTATCTCAGCACAAAAATATTAAAGTTATTGAAATTCCTTATTTCATTGACAAAGAAATTTATTTTGATCCAAGAAATGTTTTCATACATTCAATATCGGAGTGTAACATTGAGCATCATACTACAATAGATTTAGATGTTGATTCAAACATCTCTTCTTTGACATCAAATGAAATTGGAAAATATATTTTGGATAAAATACAATTAAGCGACAATATTCAGCTTCCTGAGTCCGAATTCATCACAATACGTGATCTTCTTGAAGTGTTAAAGTCAAAATGCAGTATTTTAATACATTCAGATTCATATCAAAGAAATCACAAACCAATTCAAGAAATTCCCAAAGTTTTTGCTGATTTTCTTAATTACACACTAGAAATACCCCAAGATCCTTATCTATCAATCGTAGTTGTTGGTCGTCACGATGGATTTTCAAAAGGTTTCGAAAACAGAGCTCAAAACTTCCTGGATGTCATTGGGAACTTGTCTCATCACGCTCCACTCGCCAGTTTCGAAATTGTCTTCGTAGATTACGCTACTCCAATTGAAAGAAAACCGTTATGTAAAGTATTCAAAATTCCGAAAATTTTAATGAACAGAACTCGATTTATTTCTGTTCCCCAAGAGTACCATTACAATTTAACAGAGAAACTTCACACGAAATCGAGTTTCTTTGAGTATATTGCGAAAAACATCGGAATCAGAAGAAGTAAAGGCCAATTTATTCTGACAACCAATCCGGATAACTTCTATTCTGTTGACTTCTTCGAATCCATCGCGAGAAGAGAGCTAAATGATGGAATTCTCTATAGAAGTCATCGTTGGAGTTTAAATGAAAATTCATCTTTGACAAAAAGTGACATTTTTGATGTAATTAATCGTCCTGGCCAATTAAAGAAGAGGCAAGATGTTAGAGCTAGATGTCCAACAGATATAAGCAAGACAGTTTGGTTTGCTGATAAAGAGAGTATCGAAAAAGAAAGTTTTCCTTGTGGAGCAGGAGATTTCTTAATGATGTCAAGAGATATGTGGTTTGCGATAGGAGGATTTGATGAATACCCAGGAAATATGAATGTTGATGCTTTGTTCCTTGGAAGAATGATGAAATTCGTTCCTGGATACGTGAGAAATTTAATGAGAGCTCCAATTGTCCACCAATACCATGTAAGACAAAATATATTTAGACCATTGGTTTCAGAGCATAAAAAGAAAATGTCTGACTATGCTTGCTCAGCAATGTGCAAAGAAATTCAAAAATATGAAACTGATTCATGGGGAATTGGAGATGCAGTCTTTAACGAAACTATTATTTAATTGTTTGATATGTGTAAAATATTAATATATTATGTATTTTCTTCAAAACAACTTTTTCTTGGATCATATTGATTTGATGAATGTTTTTTTCAATATTTAATCTAAATCAGTCGAATCAAATTAATGTTTTGTTTATAAGAAATGTTATCATTTATTCTAATTTCGATTTTTTCAAATGGAAGCATATTTTCCAGATTAAAATTCGAAAACAAAGATAGTTTCAGTAAGTTTGGTTTTAACATTATAATTTTTACAATGTAAGAATTCAAATATGATTGTAGTATTGCTATATCACAAATACAATGTATGCAATTGCGATTTCTATATTTAATGAATGAGTTACATATCACTTTCCGACATCAACATTAAGGATCGGAAAATTTATTCTTGATGATATGCTATATGTTCCATTATTAAAGATTTGTCAGATTGGTCGTATTAAATTTAGGTTTAGACTGGGCCACTTTGCCTATATTTGGAATGAAGATTTAAAGTTGAAGCGAAATCATTCGTAGAACATGAATTATCCGACTTGTTGTATATCGTGATATCAATTGCTTTGTTATGCGAGACATACGGGATAAAATACAATCCCACACACATAAAAATACTGAAAAACATGAGAGAAATCCTTCACAGACAACTTTTCAGGAAATTGTAGGGAAAAAAGCTAAGATTTAGATAACAATTTGTTTTACTTTTTTCATTTTTAACAAGCTTTAGCAGTACAGGATTGACCCCGTACTACTAAAGCCCAGTATATTCAATGAGCTGAAATTATTTATTTCTTCTTTTCAGCTGGCTTGGCAGCGGCTGGGGCAGCAGCCTTATCGCCTTCAGCTGGCTTAGCACCATCAGCAGCTGGCTTGCCGGAGTGGCCGTGGGCAACTGGAGCCTTCTTAACCTGAGCCTCCTTGTGATTAGCGTGGAGTGGATCAGCACCGTGCTCGTGGACCTTGTTGTCGGCCTTCTCGGCAACTTCCTTGTCGTGGATTGACTGGATCTTTCTTGCTGCAGCAGCAGACATTCTAGATAAGTGAAGTGTTAACTAAATTCCCTATCGTTAAATTCTTAATTGAGATTCTCTCACAAATGATTGACTTTGACCTCTCAAAATTTCTGAACATTTACATTATTCATAGAATTGATAATACATTCAAACAGTTTAACATTTCAACATTCAATCTTATACTTCTCTTCATCTTGTGGTCGGGTGAAATAAATCATTTTTCTAATGTTTTTAGAGGATTTTAGGCTATTCTGTGAGAATAAATTCCGCCAATATATGTGAAATGATGATTTACTCGCAAATCTGAAATCTACACTTATGGTATAATATGATAGACCTAATTCTGGTAAGTATTTTTGATTTTAAAGAAATCAATTTTAGGAAATCTTCAATTCTTATTGTTTTCACATCTCCTAAGTAATGCAATCAATATTTTCCAGTGTTGTTTTTAAAACTTCCGATCATCAAAAGTGAACTGGTCAATTATGAAAAATTCGAAAAACAAAAGATTTTTCCATCGGCTGTTTTTTGATTTAACAGTAAGAAAATCCAAAAAATTATCTAGGATTTCACAATAGGTTTATTTAAGCGATACACACAAATGATTTATTTTATGCATCGTGAATTTTTTTATCGACTTTTTTTGGAACAAATTATTTTTTGATCAGCGAAATAGCATACTCTTACACATTATTCACAATAAGTGTAAGAAATGCATACGTAGAGTACTGTGATCTGTTGATAACTCAAAAGATTCGAAAATTTTAGAATTAATCACAGGTCGTCCCAGAAAATAAAACGGATATCGTTTATAAAAATTATTACAATTAATAAAAACCATTCTTAATCCATGTTTCCATGGTTCAAATTTTCTTTTCATATTTTTATACAATCCCTTTGTTTTCAACTGAAATAGAACTTTCCATATGTCAAAACATCTCCCATTTAATTACATATCACAAAATCAATTTGAAGACCTATTGGATTTACAACGATGATAGGAATCTAGTAGTTGTATCATTTCGTATAGGTCTAAAGATTCATTTTATCGCATATATTGGACCAATTAAACAGATAACTCATATTTCGGAGGGATATGTACATATTGTTGATGAAAATTAGCTTTAATGTAAAAATTTTTATAAAAATGTATCATACTACTCTAGTCAAATGCCATATTATTCATATGAATTCATATCTAAGATAAACCGCTTGAAATTTTGAGGAATTTACGATGTCAATTTGACGGCAAATCATCAATTGTTAGAATTTCTTTGTTATTCTACATTTAAGAACCAGTAAATACTATTTCCACCTTTGCTGGCTGTACAAATGCAAAGATAATAAAGAGATTTGTGAATAACATTTATTAGACTTGAGATAAAATTTCAAATTCTAGAAATAAATGAGGTAAACTATATTTATTCAAAACACAGATATGTATGCCCAAAAACATGTATATACCAGTTTGGTTTCGCATTTGTCATGTATTTTTTTTATCCATTCTCTTCAAAATTGATTTTATTTTTGATCCCTCATTGGGAAACTTGGGAAAAGTGTGACACAAGGAAAGAAATTTAACTTAAGTTTAAACTCAACGAAATTCAAAAAATAATTTAGTAAAGATATTAATATAAAGCGTTTGTAGTTTACCTAAATGATATAATTAAAACATTCATCAATATAAAACATCATACTTTCGAGATATTTATGTTCAACAACAATATCCTAGTTTTGATGTATTTTCTCCTTTAAGTTTTGTTTCTGTAGCTTGTCTAACATGAGTTATATAATCAATGGATTTCAGTATTGAATCATTGAATAATTCGTTAATTGACTCTCCAGATTTTGCTGAAACATAGAAAATATCATTAAAATACCTTCCATACTTTTCGGTTATTTCGATCATTGCTTGATGTAGTTCTTTATCGTAGTCTAAATATATTTTATTCACAGCTAATATCTTTTCGAGCTCTTCATCGCATGAATCTTTGACAATGTTTAACCAAGAATCAATTTGGTCAAATGATGCCGGATCTTTAAAGGCGGCAGTAATAATAATTCAAGTCGAGTTGCGAATGTATGCCGGAGTAAGAGATTGGAATTGTTCTCCTCCAGCAGTATCAAAAATAAATGCATTAACTGTGTTATCTCTTATTGTTACTGTTTTTGTTTGATGATCAGCGCCGATTGTTGGTTTAGCATCATAATCGAAAGTTCCATTTATCCATTTATTGATAATAGATGTTTTTCCAACACCAGAATTACCAAGAAGGACAATCTTGCAAGTAAGGAGAGGCTTTGATTGTAACATTTTTTATAAAGAAAATTTTTCGTAAACTATTGAATTTTGTAAATGGTAATTTAACATCAAACAAGTATTGCATTAAGCATACAGTTCTAAATACTTTTACATTTGAATAGTTTACAATACCGAAATATTATCTAATTTTCAATAAGAAAATTCTACGAAATTTATTTATGAAAACTACCTGTAATAAGTATTGAAAATTGCCTTATGTATTTAGATTTTTGTATTGTGGCATGCTTAATACAAAGGGTGTTCTTCTTCTCATGTTGCAATACGAAGAGGAGTTGTTCGATCAATAACTTTTTCATCTATTTTCTATTTCATGCAAAATAAAAGCATCTACTATTACTTTTCCATCAAACTAAGGATGTCAATTTGGAAGAAAAGTGAGAAAATTCCTAAAATGCTAAAAATGAATTTTCAAAACGTATTTTTTTATCTCATTTTTTTGATTTTGAAAAAAATTTGGAGAGAAGAACTCTTCGTTTTTGAATTTTATCACGATGGTTTTAAAGTATATTAGACACATGTATTGGTATTACTATTTTTGTATATTTTGAGAGAAAGTCCCTAAAAAGTGAGAAAATCTAAGACGGTTTGAGAAAATATATAAAATATTGAAAATTTGAATTAAACTTCTAATTTGGAAAAAAGAAATTTGGAAAGAAGAAAATTCAAAAATCGAGATTTAGACTCAGCATCAAATGGAGAACAAAATGTTTCTTCATATGAAGGAAAAAAATTTTCTTGTGAAGAAATAGAGTTTTTAAAATTTTATTGTATGTAATGAAATAAACAACTATTAAAATTATTTTTTGATAACAAGAAAATTCCCAATAGAAAATATTTGAGAGAAAGAAAAAAAGAAAATTGAAAAATATTACTCTCCTTTATATTTCATGAGATTTTAAATTTATTCTCATAAAATTGACAATTTTATACGTTTAGATGAAAATAATTGATTTTGGTTGAAATAGAAATTATTATTTGCTTACAGCTATCAAATAGATTTTTGCTATTTTGATTAAAATTTGTTAATCAAATTAATAAATTTTTTCTAAATATCTTAAATATCTCGATCACTCACATATACAATGAATTGAACGATAAAAATAATACAAACTCAACTAAGTTTCCTGTCTTTCAACTAAAAAAAATTATGCAAATTAAATTAAATTGTTTATTCAAATATAAAACAAAGATGAAGTAATTACAGTTATCATAAACTTTATGAATAACTCTGTAATTGGTTCAGATTTTCGTAAAAATATTTTTATTAATATCGATAAGAATACGTTTACCTACTATCACAACATATCGATAAACAAGAGTAGAGTGATTTTTATCATCGAAACTTTTTAAAAGCTGTAAGCTGGAAGGAAAAATCTTGTTTTTTCTGAGTTAGTTGTAGAACTATTGATGCACGAGTTATCATTGTGATGTAGAAGGATGTCAATGTACTGACTGAAGGATATGAAGTGAATTGAATTTCATTGAATTTCAATTTGATCAAAATTTGTTGAAATGATATGAATGTGTCAACATCTGTATCACTCTCTTTCACTCCTTCCCTATTCTTTCGAGAACGAAGCTAGCTCAGCTTTCGCTGAGCGAATTGACACTTTTGATGTCCTAAACGTACATACTCTCAAATTTATCGAAAAAATTATACCACCTAAACTAGTATATTCTTATTTTAAATATGATATTATCCTTAGAATCCACACTAGAATATATTTAAATCAACTTTTAATAAAGTTCGAATCCTGCGCGTCTCACTTTTTAAATTTTCGAAAAGGAAAATTATATTCTCCTAAAATGAAAACAATTTTCCGAATTGACATCCTTAATCAAACTTTACCAAAATATGAAATAAGGTTGGGGTGAAAAATGGGTAGCTTCTCAAAAATTGAGAGGAATGACAGCTTTGATAAAATAAAAAATTAAATGTCAATTAATTAAAATACCAGTCACAGATGTTTTTGCATATGCTTTTCGAAATAATTAAAATCTTAAATGTTTATATATACATTCCTATTTCTAACACTCTTCGCGCGATAGATTGTTTTGCTTGGAATCCAAATTTGCAAAGAGTTAAGTTATAATACATCTTCGGAATTTTTCTATAAATCACTAAAAATCTTAGAAATACGTTTGTTGGCTTGATCAATCAAATATTAAACAGATAACTTATTGTGGTATATTGCTAATTAATGGTAGTTGGTGTCTAACATGAAGTTCTTGTTAATCAAAGAATTCCTTACCTAAATTTCTCTACTACTACAAACTTTATTAGAACAGATCACTGCGAACATTATAATTTTCACATTAGAGAGTCATTAGCCAAAAACAATTAATTTATTCAAGATAGTTATAGATCAAAAATAAAAAACTTTTTAAAAAAGATAAAAATATATCATGAAAAAACATTAATATCTAATATAATAATAAAAATAATATAAATTAATAAAAATTACTCAACAGTATTTTTCTGTTCAGGAATCACTAACAATTCATCATCAACAGACGACAAAACTTGAATCAGTCTACTTCTCATTGGCAAGTTTTCATCTTTGACATTTACACGTGAAATATCAATGAAAGCCTTTGAATCAATGAACAACTTCTGTCCTTCTCCGTATTTCCTTATTGCATCACCGAAATGTATTGTTGCCATGACAGATTCAGGAGGTTCTTCGTGTGTTTTAGGTTCAGAATTCTGAGGTTTCTCTTTTTCAGAAGATTTTGACGGTTTGATTTCATCTTTTGCGATCATGTTAATTCCTTTATTTCTCTTTAATGTTAATGCTGACATCTTGAAGTGTTTCATTCTGTAGTTCTGAAGCTTGTTTGCGTTCTCAAGCTTCTGGATGAACCTCATCATCACAGGACTGAGCAATCCAAACAATTCGTGGCCGGGAGTTCCATTTATTCCGGTCAGAAATTCTTTATCTATAGAGTCTCTGACAGATTGAATTTCTATCGTCCACGTATCGTCCGGGGAAGTTCCCTGGGCAAAAATTGTCGGATGGCTGGCCATCGTTACAAGGAACTGCGGCTTTTCACCGTCATCTTTGATGAGGCAATCGAAATTCTCCTGTCTTCCATTTACAACCAAAGTAACAGATGACGAGAAACCGATTGGATAAATATAATCTTCGTTGTAGTAGTTTTCTTTCGGAATTATTTGGCCAAGAGAATGAACAACTTGTGATGGAGATAAATTACATGGCAACTCAAGATCGAACATGTCGTCGTAGCTGGATGAACCTGCCTTGGAATGACTGCTCTTCGTGATGTTGGAGTTCACGTTTTTCAGGTGATTTCGGATTGCATTTGGAGATAATTTCGAGTTTTCCATCGTTTGGCGGATTACGAAGCTCTTGAAGTGGCAAGACTCCAATCCCCATGTTGATACAGCAGTAAGAATAGCGAAATCTTCTGCAACAAGGTTTTCCTTGTTTTTCGCAAGATTTTCTCTCGCTTTGTTGACAATAAGAGTTTTTTCAATGAAATGCACAAGGAATTGTGGTGTAATATATGGTAATAATGAGTGAATCTTTGGAATGTTGTTTTCTCTGATACATTCCCATATATCATTGAAAATTTGAGAGAAATCGGTTTGAGTATTCAATTTTGTGACAGATTTAATTTCATCTAAGTTTTCGGATCCAAATGACTGTATAGATGTAACTAAATTAACTTGATCATCAATTGGCAAAATTATGTCAAAACCGTTTTCGAAAATTTCCTTGGTATTTTCCAAGTTTGGCTGAGTTTGTGGGAAACTGATCGCGTTGAATCTCGGCAGAATGTTCTTTACGATCTCTTCTATCCTTGTCAAACAATTGGAATGGGAAGGAACTAAACCTCCTGTCCATTTATAGACTTTTTCGAGTCCGATGTCGTTTGAAGAGTATCCTGTGAGCCATATCATTGCAACTAACAGTTTATCATCATCTTTTGTCCACTTTTCTGTTGGCATAAAAGATGATGCAATCGGTTGCATGAAAATCGTGGAAGGAATCGATGTGGCTGATCTTACAAGGCATGATACAGCTAGTAACAACTCAATTTTAGTGAGTTGGTTGGCCAATGCCTTATTTGCTTTAGTTGAATAGAATAATGTGAGAGATGAGAGCATTTTATCTCTGTAGTCATCTGGCCAACTGGATTGGAAGTCTACAAATAAGCCTGCAAGCAGTGGATGCAGATCTCTTTGTAGAATATGCAACAAAATTTCGACCATAAAGTACGCTGTCTCTTTAATTGACATGAGAGAGACTAAAGCGCCCATATTAACTGCGATTTGAGACCATTTGCCCCAACAAATTCGAGTTAATTCCGCAAATAATACTTCGTAGTCTGTTTCTTGCCAAACATATGAGTAATCATCAGCTGTCATCTTCTCATTAGTCATATCTGGCATCTCAACAAACTTAGAAGTCAAAACTTGGTTGAGATTTGGTTTAATTTTTCCGTTTGAAGTGAAAGTAAACAATCTATAGTCTTCCTCTTCTGCCTCATCAACTTCTTCTTCCTCTAAGAGCTCTTTAATGCTCTTCTTTGTCTTAGGTTTCCTTTCTCTGTCAGATTTCGCTCTTGAAACGTCACTTTTTAGTTCCTCTTTGTCAGAATCCATTTCCCTTTCAAGGTTTAAGTTTTCTTTATCAGAATCATCCATATTTAGCGAATCATCGTTTGATTCATCCAAAGAATCTTCCTCCTCTTCGATTAATTCTTCTGGAATTTCTTCTTCTTCCTCTTCTTCGCTTAATTCTTCAGATTTAGTTTCTTTTTCATCGACAACTTCTTCTTTTTCTGGTTTAACTCTACGCCTCCTGATTGGAGTAATGTCTAATTCGAGTTCTTGGCGTTTTGTCATTTTAATTCTTGTGCTATTTCTCTTAATTGAGCCATTCTGCCAATGTGATTCCTTAATTCTCTTTACGCGCATCTTCTTTCTCGTGTATACAATACCATCCTTCGTTTCTGATGTCTTAGAAACCACTTCTCTGACAGTATCTCTTTCATGAATTGACTCATCAATCTTAGAACCAGGTGGTTGGCTTGCCAATCTGACTCTTTGGTACTGATCGATAAGTTTCTTTATTCTGATTTTGTCTTCTGCCTGTTTTTGTTTAAATTCAACGAGTTTTAACTGTTCTTCTTCTTTCTTTCGCTTCCTGTCTTCTTTTCTTTTCTCAATTTTCTGCTGTTTGAGTTCCTCTTTCTGTTCTTCTGTTAAATTATTCTTCTTTGGCCGGCCAGGTCTGCGTTTTGGAACTTCTGGAACAGATTCTTCTGGTATCTTATCATCTTTTGGTTTGGAAGCCTTTGGTTCTTTCTCTGGTTTGGTTTCTTTATCGGATTTCTCCTGTTTCTCTTTCTTTTCTTCGGATTTCGATTTGGAAATTCTTTCTCTCTTCATTTTCGGCTCTTTTTCTGGCTTAGAATCGTTATCTCTATCAATTCTATTAGATTCTCTATCAGATCTGGAAGATTTGGCCTCTTTTTCGGATTTGGATTTCGATTTCTGAGGTTTCCTTTCTTCTTCGTCTTCTGAGCTGCTGAATGACATGGATCTTTTAAGTTTGGAGGGTTTCTGGGACTTTTCGGATCTTTTAATTTTTTCTTTTGGCGAAGAATGGAGAGATTCCTCTTCTAAAGGAGAAGATGTCTCGAGATCAGGTATGTCAACCTCGGAATCAAAAGATTGTCTCTGTTTTTCTTCTTTTTCTTTCAATAATTGTTTCAATTTCTCATCTTTCTCTTTTTGTATCTGTCTTTGCTTTTCTTCCCTCTCTTTCTGTAATTGTCTTTGTCTTTCTTCCTTTTCTTTCTGCATCTGACGTAATTTTTCTTCTCTTTCTTTTTGTTTCTCGATTTTTCTCTTCTGATCCTCTTCTTTGATCCTGTCAGCGTCTTGTTGCTGCTTCATGAAGTAATCTGGAAGGATTGGATCGAACTGTATTGTTCCTGCTTCGAGATCTTTAAATGAAATCCGGTCATCAGCGAAAAGATTCTCGAATTGAGGGCAGTAGTTGCCTTTTCCGATGGCTCTGAATGTTTCTCTCGTTGGACGAAGAACATATTCGCAGGCGGCATCGAAAATTTCGGACATTTTCGGAAATTCATCGGAATCTTCACAAGGGAACAGCCATTCATCATGGGTATATGATGATACAAGTCTAATGAATGGTATTTGGCGTGTCTGTTTATCCAATCTTGTGTAATAAGAAAGATAATTCTTTGTTCCATCGGGAACAACGATAATATCGGGCTTCATGGCCATCCAATCTGCTGGTTCATCGATATGGAGTAGAACGAACTGCCAAGTGGTCAGATCATTTGGAATTGAATTCAAATAAATCGGACAATTTGGAGAATACCTGAAAATTGAGTCAATTATCCTCAAGAACTTGTCATCTGACGAAATAACAAGTAATTTCTGATTGTTCGCCATACAAAAAGCGACTAATCTTTGAAGATATTTCAATTTACCGGTATTAATGTTCGTCATGTTAAATTTATGTGGCTGAATCTCTTTTGTAACGATGTTCTCGAATAATTGTTGGTAAATTATTTCGTATTTGTTGATTAATTTTGAATTTATTGAATTACTTATTTTTTCCATGGCTTTTGAGTTGATATCTTTGCCAATGTAAGGAATAACAGCTTTCTCGTAACAATGGCGTTGATAAGCCGTTGGAGGACAAGTAATAATAAATTCATCGAGATCTAATTCGGATTCTTCGAATGAATCCATCCTCACAGTATTCTCTACTTGCTGAGAATACGATTTCTGGAGGTGGATCTTCGATCTGCAGTTAATTGAAGAATAATCAATTTTCGTAGTGGAAGAATCGTTATCAATGATGGTAATCAGCCAGTTAAACCTTGTAAACTCGACAAGCATGTTGGAATAAGCGTCAGGAGAGATAATTAAGAAGTCAAAAATTGATTTTCTGCATTGAAGGATGTTTTCGCGAAAAGCTTTGAGTTCTATCGAACTGTTGTTTAATGTAATGATGATGGAATCCTCAAAAGCATGACTTACGATGTTTTTGATAAGGGAAATGTAATTTTCTGAAGTAATGAAGAGAATTGGAGCGTAAAAACCGTTGTAACGCTTTACAACCATCAAAAAGTTCATCAATGTTCGGTATAATTCCGAAAAGAAGTTTCCTCGTAGCGAAATGTCCTTTTTTCCAAAGAATTTCTCGTACATGTCGAATATAAATTCTGGTTTGACCTTTCCAATGAAATCGAATTGAGTTTTGTCTAATGTTGGATACTCATCTCCTAATTTATCTGGTTTTCGTTCAAATTCGTTGAATTTTCGGACTAATTTTGAGATTTCTTTGTCTTCGCTATTCTCTATTGTACAGTATTCGATATTCAAGCCTTTCCATTTAACTAATGAGAAATTTTGGCCATCTTGTTTTATGTTAGAAAGAACGTATTCAGGAACTTTGAAGAGAGGATTACAGAATGGCTCTTTCTTAAGATACCCGAGAGCCGAAAATATATTAAATATCTGTTCTCCTTTCAAATACATTTTGATATCTCGTTCTTCAAGCCAAAGTAAATGATTATAGGAGGAATCTTGAAGTTTAGTTAGGAATAAGAGTTTGCCACGATCACTCTTGACTCCAATAATCTCTTCGATTGGGCTGGAAACTAAATTATTTAAAATCTCGGTATTTGGATGATAAAAGTCAATCAATTTGTATTTACCGATATTGCTGAATTCTTTCTCGTTAATTTTTGTTATAGTGGCTGGTAAAATTCTCTTTTTCGATTTGGATGGATAATAAACACTCTTTTGCGCGTTAGATGATGTAAGAAATCCACGAGCAGACCAACTCTGTAGTTGACTGATATCAGGATTGACCTGTATCGTTGATTCCCTTAACTTCGGGACGTGACTTATTGGACGTGATGGAGAAATTGGTGCTCCACGCGGCGGATAAATGTTATTGCTCATGTTATCTGGTGTAGTTCGACGTGGTGGTGGATATCCTATTGGATATTGGCGATATCCATCCATTTTTTTTCTCAGAAATTTAGAATAAGAAAGTAAAGTGTCAAATTTCGAATATGTTGAAAAACAAAATATAATAATCAGATATGTATATCATTTTTATATAACATGAAATATCGGTCGAATTTACAACAATTAATTTCGAAATGAGTCAAAATGTAAGAATTCATATTGGACCAAATAAGAAATCAATACGACTTAACGTTTCATATTGTAAATTGCTTATTCTTGAAGGATATAAAAATACGAAAATAAAAAACATGGGTATTATATGGCAGAATATTGGCATTCAATTTTATGCATCAATCGATAGTTAAATGTTGTAGATTGATGATTAAAAAGAACGATGTTCAAATTCATCAAGCCGTTAGTTGCTTAATACCAAATCTATTCTATAAAATTGAACTAACAATCATGTGGCAGTTATATGATACTATAAATTAGGCGATATGTAATATTTTTAAGAAATTTCTCCATCTTCGGTTTTTACGTTAATTTTTGAGCAATTTGAAGATTGATTTATAATGGTTGATAAGTTCTCAAGATTACCTTACATTTCGATAGTTCATCTTTTGTTGAAAAACGAAAACTATCATGCTTTTGATTTCAAACCGTTCTTTGAAAGATTATATCACTCTCCTTATATTTTATAATATGTATGGTCAAATGAAAATATTGATGCCACAAAAAGTGACAAACCAATTATATTCAATGTTGATCAAAGTTTTTCATTTTAAATATTAATTACACACTATTTAAAAATAAATGTTACTGTTAAAATAATTCGGAAAGTGACTTTTTGGATGACTTTCTAAATTTCCACCAAATCAAAGGTATTTTTAATTGCAATAATAGTGAACTGCCCCTAAATTTATATGAGGAACATAATCGTTGCAGTACAACTTAGTTTTACCGCCAATTTTCAAAGAATTTGTTGATGAAAAGCTTCCTTTTGAAATAAAATTTTATTTGGGTTCCGAAATTTATTTGCTGGAAATAGTGTAAATAGCAATATTCATTAAAGTTGTCATCTGATCAAAAAGACCATCAAAAGTCCTCTCAAAAATTTGAATGAGGCTCCGACATTTTCGAATAAAATTATAAAATGCCGAGATCATGGGAAGAAACTCAGATTAATACTTTTACAAGGTGGGTCAACTCATACCTTAGGTCAAGAGACCTTAAGGTCAATGACCTTAAAACCGATCTCTGTGATGGTAGACTCTTAATTAATTTATGTGAAATTCTTACAAAGCAAACTTTTCCTAAAAAGTGGCATAAAACACCTAAGCTTAACATGCAAAAGCTTGAGAACTGCCACATGGCTGTAGATTACATCAATAAAGACATGCAAATTAAACTTGTCGGTATTGGCGGCGACGATGTAAATGCAGGTAACTTGAAGTTAATTTTGGGCCTTATCTGGTCTATTATTAACAAGTACCAAGTCGAAGCCATCCAAGAAGACTTTCCACAAACAGAAAAGAAACAATCCGGTAAGGAGAAGCTCTTGAACTGGGCAAAGACCGCAACTGCAGATCATAAGGGCGTCAATATTACAGATTTTTCAAAATCTTGGCGCGGCGGTTTGCCTTTATGCGCTATCTTCCACCATTACCTACCAGACTGCATCAATTATGATTCTATCAAGCCAGAAGATTCAATCAATGAAGCGTTTAGTTTTATGAAAAGAGCCGGAGTTAATGTCTTTATTGATCCTCAAGATCTTGAAGTCGCAGCTCCTGATGAGAAATCTATTGTCACTCAGGTTTCTGAACTCTATCATACATTCAAGAAACCAGAAAAAGTTGAAGCAATCCATAAGACTCTCAAACCAATTCCAGGATTTATCAATTGCACCGTCGTAAACGGTAGAAATCTTGCAGCTATGGACAAAGGCGGCAAATCTGATCCATATGTTATTGTCAAGATTAACAAAAACGGAAATCCTCATAAGACTGAAATTATTAAAGAGACTCTTAACCCAGATTTCAATCAAGATTTCACAATTCAATTCGCAGACCAGAAAGTCGATTCAATTATTCTCGAATGCTACGATTGGGATGACCATAATTCACACGATTTAATCGGAACTGCAGAAATCCAGCTCAACCAATACGTTTTCAATAGAGTTATAGAAAGAGATATCGAGCTTAAGAAAGAAGGCGGCCACAGAAAGGAGCGCGGAACCATTCATTTCCGTTTCATCCTTCTCGCCAGCTTGGACAACACAGATTCCGAAGGAGAAGATAATGTTGTACCAGAAGAAAACGCTACACCAGTTCCTCCGATCGTTTTGAACGCTACAGTTATTGATGCCAGAGACTTACCTGCAATGGACGCTGATGGGCAGGCGGATCCATTCTGCATTCTTACCGTTAATGGCAAAGGCGAGCAATTCAAGACAAGAGTAATTAAGAATAATTTGAATCCTGTTTGGAATCATGCTTTTAATATCCCAATTAATAATCAATTTACAGATACACTTTATGTTAATTTAATAGATTTTGATGAAACAACAAATAATGACCTTATTGGCTACAACAAGATATCACTTCGCGATTTACAAATTGGCAAACCAGAAGAATTACAACTCCCGCTTAGAAAATTACATGCTGTTCGCACAGATCGTGGAACAGTTCATCTTATGCTTCAAGCTTACAAACCAGGCGAAGAACCAGAAATTATGCCACCAAAAGAAGAAGAACCAGAAGTTAAAGCATTTGTCGACTGCAAAGTCATTTCCGCTACAAAGTTAGTCGCAATGGACTCAAACGGAAAATCAGATCCTTATGTCGTTTTGAAATACAATAAAGATGGAGAACCACAGAAGACAGAAATCTGCAAGAAGACACTCAATCCAGAATGGAACCAAGACTTCACATTTACAGTCGTTCAGAAGAAGACAGACATTCTATACGTAGAATGCTGGGATTGGGACGACCACAACTCACACGACCTCATTGGTGTTGGCGAAGTCAAGATCGAAGAGTTCATGTACGATACACTCGTCGAGACTGACGTCGAACTCAAGAAGGAAGGCGGACACCGCAAGGAGCGCGGAACAGTCCATCTTCGCATCTTCGTTCGTACAGACCGCACTGGTGAAACAGATAATGAAATGGGCAACACGGAATCAGAAGGCGAAGAAGCTCCATCAGCACAACCAGCTGAAACAGCTACACCAATTGTTGTCCACTGCACAGTTGTTGATGCAAAGGATCTTCCAGCTATGGATATCAACGGAAAGGCTGATCCATTCTGCCAACTCACTGTCAACGGAAAGGGCCAAGAATACAAGACAGAAGTTGTCATGAAGAACAAGAACCCAACATGGAACCAATCATTCAACATTCCAGTCGAAGACCAGAACAAAGACCATTTGTACGTTACTTTGTTCGACTTCGATAAAGACAGCGATAACGACCTTATTGGCTACAACCGTATCAAACTACGCGATCTTCCATTGAACACACCAGTTGAACGCGAAGTCGAGCTTAAGAAGAAGCATGGACTTCGTCCAGATCGTGGTGTTGCTCACCTGATTCTCACAGCTTACAAACCAGGTGAGGAACCACAAATTGAAGCTACTCCAGTGGAAGAACCAGTCAAGAGCGAAGTCCCACCAAAGGCCGAGTTCCTTGACTGCACAGTTGTCAGTGCTTCTAACTTAGTCAAGATGGATAAGCACGGCTTGAGCGATCCATACGTTGTTCTCAAGGTTAACAAGGATGGTGAACCACAGAAGACAGAAGTTGTCAAGCAGAACTTGAACCCAGAATGGAACCAAGAGTTCCACTTCAACCCGTTGACAAGACTAAGGACGTTCTTGTTGTCGAATGCTACGACTGGGATGACCACAACTCACACGATCTCATTGGCAATGCCATCCTTGAGCTTGCACAATACGCATACGACATCCCAATCGAAGCCGATGTCGAGCTTAAGAAGGAAGGTGGCCACCGCAAGGACCGTGGCACCGTCCATCTCCGCTTCACGATCCGCAAGGACAAGACAGGCGAGCCGATGATGAGCACACAACATCTGAAGAAGAGAACAACAAGGCAGTTGCTAAGGCAGACCCAATTGTTCTCCATTGCACAGTTGTCGATGGTGTCGAGCTTCCGGCTATGGACATCACCGGCTTCAGCGATCCATTTGTCCGCCTCACAGTCAACGGCCAAGGCAAGCCATACACAACCGGCATTGTTATGCGCGAGCTTAACCCAATCTGGAACCAAGAATTCAACATCCCAATCGACAACCAGAACAAGGACAAGCTTTACATCACATGCTACGACTGGGACGAAGACAGCGCAAACGATCTTATTGGCTACTACCGCCTTCCGCTCGACGACATCAAAGTTGGCGAGCCCGTTGAGCGCGAGTGCATCCTTAAGAAGAAGCATGCTCTCCGTGCTAACCGCGGCAAGATCCATCTCAAGATCTGCGCATTCAAGCCAGGCGAGGAGCCACAAGTCAGCAAAGTCCCCGGTGCTCATCCAATCAAGAACATCAAGCTAAGGAGACTTTAGACGCCACCGTTGTCAATGCCCGCGACCTTGTTCCAATGGACAAGAACGGCAAGAGCGATCCATACGTCATCCTTAAGCTTAACCGCAAACGGCATTCCACAGCAGACTACAGTTGTCAAAGCTTCTCTCAACCCAGACATCAACGAGAACTTCGACTTCACACTCATCGATCCTAAGACTGATGTCCTCCTTGTCTACTGCTACGACTGGGACGACCACAACAACCACGATCTTATTGGTGTTGGTGAGATTCCACTTGAAGGCATTGCTCTGGACGTTCCAGTTGAGAAGCAAGTCGAGCTTAAGAAGGAAGGTGGCCACCGCCAAGGAGCGCGGCAAAGTCAACCTGAAGCTTCGCCTCCACAACTCACGCGATGGTGAATCCGATGCATCCGACGAGGAAGCTAACCTTGACAACCCAGAGAAGCCTGCTGATCCAATTGTTCTCCGCTGCACCGTCATCGATGCCAA